CTCGCTAGCATTTTATCCATTTATAAGATAAACCATAGCTGATGAAAACAGTAAAAACTTTACATTATTGTGCATCAGGACGCTGCATGATAGGTGAATCCCCTGAACAAATATATTTCAAATTGCTCTGCAACGAATTTATGATTTAAATGTAAAACAGACACAGTGGGGGAGCTTTGATTTAAATTCAAAATATTTCGAAAAAGTGCTGTGAGAATCATCGTGAACTGATTTTCTGGACATAAATGGCAGCCGAACTAATATTTAACATGAAATTTGTTTGTTTTACTGCCATGTTAAGAATTTATAAAATTTTACTTAATACTAAATAAATTGAACCTTTTACAAGTATGAATATAGAGATAGGCAACCATGCGAAAAGGGAAATAAAACATGTTCTCTTTGTAACCATTATTTGTTTTTATTTACTTTAGTAACTGAAAATTTATATTAATTTATAAAAATGGCTTTAAATAACGAAACTACATTTAATAATTTTTCTTAAACTATCGTAGCCTACAATAGCATCTGCGCCAACAATAAGTTTTAAGCCGAATTCGTGAATTCACTTCCCAATGGAATAGCCTTGCTATTCAAATTAAAATTCTAAATTAATGTTTGTGCGCATTCGTAGTTTTTTCATTTTAATTTTCCTCTGTTTATATTTTTGAAAATGCAATAAAATGAAATCTTTCCAAGACAAGCTGTTAAACAAAATTTGAATAGGTTAAGCGGTTATCGCGTGATATCTTCAATTTCTGAAAACTTAGACTCTGTCTTCCGTTCACACTAAGCACAATTTATTTTAAAAACTTTTGGGAACTTCCACTTTCGTGGTCCCCAGCTGCACTTGGATGTGCTTATTCCCCCACCAGCCCAAGTAAGCTACAGTTTCGTCTAACCTGCTAGAGTGCTGTTCATGCCTTTAACACTTTTCAGACTCACTTCACTCGTTAAAGTGGCTGACTGGGAAACTGGGAAACGGTAACTGTCGCTTTGTTGCTGTGGTGTTGTTTGTGCCGCCCATTTAAATGGTTTTTCTCAACAGATTTGCTGGTACATTTTGCATTGTGCATGGCTTCTTCTTGATTTTTTTTTATTTTTTATTTATATTTTGGCCTGGGAGGCGACGGCAGCAACTGTTCCGACTGGTTTTGTCTTTTGTCTTCAAGCTGTGGCAGCATTCATGTTATTCTTTCAGTGCTGTTTTATTTTGTGTGCTGCACGTTTGTCTGGCTGTGTGTTGTCATTTGAGATAATAGGAAAAACATTCAGCATTTGTCGTTTTTGTTAAGTTCGCTTTTGATTTTATTCGAGTTGATTTTAAAGCAATCGATTGGATTTTAAAACCATGATTTCATGTTTAAGACTAGCTACGTATTGTTCTGCTTTTGCGATTGTGTGATTGCGTGTTGGCTTGACAGTCAGAGATTAGCCGAGTTTATTTACACGCAACGAAAGCCAAGAAAGCCACTTAAACAGCTTCAGAATGGGCTTTAAATTTGATGGTATATGCTAGTATGAAAGCAAAGCATGTACTTTCTTCCTCATATTATTATATTTTTCTTGGAGCTTATAGTGTAGCTAGTCAAGTGCCAGGCACACACTTACAGTAAATGGCCCACAGCTAAGAAAGCAATAACAACAAACAGTTGCTGCTTTTGGCTTTTCACAACGAAAACAGACTTAGTGGACAGAGCAATTAATTGATTGATTAGTCCAACCTATAAGCACCCAAATATACAGATAGAGAGCCCCTTGTTTCCGCACACAGTAAAAGAGCAACAATAATGAGAATAACAAACGGAATACAAATGAAATAATAAGTAAGCCAAATGTGTTTATCATCTTCATTTGCCTAAGCAATAAAAGTAAGGACTCAAGAGCAACAATGACAATGGGGCAGTTACAAGAATGGCGACTGGATAATATTAGTATTAATAGTAATAATAATATCTGCTAAGCAAAGTGTTTTCATAGAATTGCAAAAAATATAAGAAAATCGAAAACAATAATGTTTTTCGGAGCCGAAAAAACACAATGTTCATAATATTCGCATTGAGGCAATGATTTACTTTCATCATCTCTTTTCTTGTTCTACGATTCCCCTTTAGCTGGGAAAGATTCATTCAGATATAGTTTATGTTATCATTTGAAAAGTAAGTCCTCCTACAAATATGTATATTAGCTCATTAACTTGATTTGTAATAAATATAAATAGAGAAAACCACCTATAAGAATCCAAGTATATTTTTGTTGCCATAAATCATGACATTTATCATTATCTCAAGAATAAACTATAATCGATTTCTTTTCAACTTTCTCAAGTCTACAAATTGTAAATCAGAAATATTTGTTTACACATTACTATATATAATTTATTATTTTCTCATTAGCTAGAATACAGAACTGAAAGAGGTGGGCTCAGACATCGATTGCAGTTGTAGATCACTTCGATTTATATAGATATATTTGGTACATTTAGTATAAATTGTGGAATTTTAACGAGAAACCGCTGCGGCTGGCAAACAACTAGTATGTGTGGTTCTGCAATCAAAACGAATGCTTATGCATTCGATTTGAATTTAAATGTACATGGAGTGGTCATTCAATCTACTGGCTTTCCGTGTATCTCTCTCTCTCGGTCTGTTGGCTTGTTTGTCTATTGCGGCCATTTGCCATGACCATGCAAATGTTTATGAAATGGGCCAAAAAACACATGCCAGCAGCAGCCGCAAAGATTTCATTGTGCTCCCAAATCAAAAGGCTATTGAAATATGTTTACGAGTGTGTGTCGATATGTGTGTGCGTGTGTGTGTGTGTCTGCTGTATAAACGACGAACATTGTGGTCATCAGTTTTGGCGCATTTAATGTAATTTTTGATGAGCTGACCGGCTTACTCTTTATGCCATTTGCTGTTTGCTCTGCCATGGGTTCTGAATGGGCCAAAAGGCCAGAAATTTATTTATGCCATGCAGGCACAGAATGAAGTACACAAATGACTTTTCTGTCCTCCCTGTGCGCTCAGCGCTTTGTTGATGCTAATAAAGTCAAATAATTATCAAGCGCGCACATAAGTAGGCAACGGAAAAGTCTGCGAAATAAAATCAAGGAACAGAAACAATCACTGAATACTTATGCCAACAGCTGGGCCGACAATGAAAAGCCAGTGCATGAGTTAACAGAACTCAAAACCCACTTTTCTCGCGTTCTTTCAGTTTTTTTTTATACATTCGAAATACAATTTATGCGCTCAGCTGCAAATTCAAACAGCTGTCAACAGTTTAATTTTTCTCACACCAACCTACAGTAATTGCTCGATTTTAAAATATATGCAGCCATTTTCTTAAAATATATAAATGGAGAAATGAGCTATGAAGTTCTTTAAATTTTAAGCAATAAAAGCAAGCACAGGCTGCAAGTTAAAAGAGTAAGTTTCTTTAGCCATCTTAAGCAGACAGTATAAAAAACAGTTCAATGAAGTTATCAGACTAAGGGTTGTATCCTTTAACGACAATTGACAGTAATTAATTGGTTTATAAAATCTTCGTGTCTTTGGGACAGAGTTTAAGATATTTTCTTGGATCAGCACTTCATCAGGTTTAACTCTTCACTTATATCCACATGTGTTATTTGTCATACAAAATTGTAATTGATAGCTTTTTTGTGACTATCACACTTTCTTAATCAGTGTTTAAGCATTTTTATTTTAAGAATCATTTACCTTTTGGAGCATTTACTGTACAGCCTCACGCCTTTTCTAAGCTGTTAGCTTAAAGCCAAGTCAACCACAACGTAAGCACAAAACTCAACTAAAAGTAACACCCTGCGTGTAATTCGATGCCAAGTTCATTAGACACGGTGGGTGCAGGCATACAGTGGAAATTATCTTGTTGCTGAACAAATTAAAGGTGCACTAATTGAATTTTCATAGATGCCTTGAATGCCTTGAATCGCACCTTAGAACTTTTGATGTTTTTGGGACGCGGGCAGTTAATGGGGAAGTTTTAGGTGGTACCGAGACAGGAAGAAGTGGCACATAATTAAGCGGCATCAAGTGGAAATTCAGTTGTGGTTTTGACGCGTGTCTCGAGCTCTGCTCTGTGGCTGTGGTAAAAAGAAATTGTCGTAAAGATACTTTTAATTGCTACAAAATGCCGTCGGCTGTGACTCAACGTTGTGGCAAGCTCAACTCAAAAGTTAAGAAGCAATGTCTCTCGAGGCGTTTAGTTCCGGCAAGGACAGAAGGCCCACTCTGAGTTATAGTTGCGGGAATTGCTGCTGCCATTTGGAAGGCAAATACGTTGATTTGAAAGTTAATGAGCTGCGCATTGTGTGAGTTAAACTTGAAGGTAGTGCGAGGTAGAGTGCGTCGAGTGCGTTGTGAATTGTGAATTCTGCTGGTAGCTAACAAATCAATGATGGCGGCAGATACAATGTAAGTGGGAATGTAAAGTAGATACCGTAGAAACAATTCATTACGTGGGTTGCAGAATATTGAAATTGTAAGTAACGCACACAAGGATACAATAGTTTTGCCCGCACTTAAGCTGCTTAGGTTTGGTTTCGCAACAGCTTGATTTCTGGCAAACTTCTTGGAATTAATTCAGACATATAGAAGGGTTTTATGCTCCCAGCAGTGTGCCAACAGTTAATTAGATAATTATAGTATATACGCTTTGCGGCAGACAAATACTTTTGCAGTTCAAACGAAATCATTGAAAAGAAAATAGTCAGATAATAGTAATAATCTTATTGTAGTTGATTATTGCAAAAATAGTCTGATTATTGCGCATTTAAATTATTAATTTAATTAAAATTTACTATTTAATAAACATTTCTTTGAGAGGAATCAGGCATGCTTGAAAAGAATTATTATTTAATACGCGTATATTAAGAGTGTATATTTTTTCCAATTTAAATTGAACTAACAATTCTCTTTTTTCTCAATCTCAATCGTCAGGTTTTCGGGTGCATTCAATAAACTGGCCTTGGCTTACCACACGAATGCTCACAACACTAATAAGAGTACAACAAAAAAGCGCAAGCTTAAAGGGAATTTAATCAAAACTTAGCCACAGTGTGTGTACGGGGCAGGAAAGAGGGCAGCAAAAGTTCACCTGCTGCTGCATTTTAAATAAACGAGGCGAGCAACCAATCAAAAGGGAAAACTCAAGAAGAAAAAAGAAACGTTCAAGTGAAAAGCCCTGGACAGCGCCATACGAGCTCAGCAACATGTCGCAACACTTCACATCGATACTGGAGAACTTGCGTTTTGTGGCCACCAAATGTACGCCAAATTCGCAACAACAACAGCAGCCACCGCAACAGCAACAGCAACAAACGGCGTCAGGCAACAACAGTGCGCAGGGCACACCGGTGGCCACTCCCAAAGCAACGCCAGCTAACAAAATTGAAAGCGAACAAAGCAGAAAAATCAAAGTTCAGCCAAAGTCTGTGGCAACAACGACTCCTACGGTAAATGGCAACGGGCTCTTGAGCGCAAATGAGGACCAGCATGAAGTGGATCACCAGTGCAGCGGCAGCAGTGTTGGGGCGATAACAGGTGGTGGCGGTGGCACGCCACTGAAGCACCACAAACGCGCCAGCGTTTCAGCAGCATCGCCACTGCGTGAACGTGAGAGACGTGGCACCAACACCAGCATAATTGTGGAAATTGATAGTGGCGTCGGAGGCGCCCCCAATGCCGCCTCAGGCAGTGGCACCGCCTCGGGCAAAAGTTCACGCGAACTTTCCCCAACGCCAAAAAATCAACAACCAAGAAAAATGTCGCAGGATTATCGTTCGCGAGCTGGCAGGTGGAGTATGCTCCAAAATATACAGACAATTTATTGCCATGAGAACAAAAGAGGGTATTAAGGCGCCTTTATTAAAAGGATGCCTTTTCTAGGCAGAGAAAAGATATAGTAGTAGAGCATATGCATAGTTAGCAAAGGACAACAATGTTGTTTTATTTACAATAATTAAGCACTAATTGGCAAATGTGTTTCAACTTATTGACGTGCTTCGGAGGAAGTACTTTATGTTTAAATTTGTTTTAATTAAATGTGGTTTATTTCTTTGCCAGTTTCATGCACCTGGACGATGAGGGACGGAGTGTGCTGATGCGTAAGCCAATGCGTCTAAAGAACATCGAGGGTCGACCGGAAGTCTACGACACACTGCACTGCAAAGGACTTGAGGTAAGGCGGATTTCGTCACGTTTGACCGACATTCATGTCATAATTAGCCGCGGCCATTCCCAAGACGTGGTTTTGTTTGCTTTTGGCAGCACAGGTAGGGAAACAAGCTAGCTTTATATGTGGGCCGATTCTCTGTCTGCTCGTACTCGTATGCACGACTGAATGTGCAATAAAAAGGCAGTAAAACAATTCGTAGTATGCGCCCCGTTAAAACTTTTGCAACGAGCAGAACGGAAAATAAAACGCATTGCATACTTGTAGGAGTTATTTAATACTCATGGCTGTTAGTTGGCCATGTAATTGTTTGAGTGTGTGGGGGAGTGTGTGTTTGTCTGCAGTTTTAGTGTTTACTGCACATTTTGTTATGGAAAAGTTTTGCCGGTGCGTGCCTTGGTCTGGATTAATAGACCCCCTCCCCGTCATTGTCGTTGCCTTTGAGTCCCGCATGGGGCCCGCTTTTGTTTTTGGGGCAGCGTGCCACTCACTCAGCCACAGTCGGAGCGTAATGAAGTAGCGTCCATTTTTTTGTGTTGTGTGCCTTAAATATTATACACAAAATAAAGTTCGCTTAGCTTTGTGGGTGTAGCAATGGGGAACTAAGGCCGCTGTGAGTTCGTGCGGCAAAATTTAGTTGAAACTGTTGTCGTTTTGTCATGGTATTTGTATTGCGGCGAAGCTGAAAAGTTGGCTCTTATGTGGGCGAAGCACATACATCACTTTAAGTATTTGTTTCGGCAGCTTCCCAGCTTGAAAAATGCTAACGAAGTCGAGGTTATAGTTGCTGTGAATGCTTTTAATTTAATGATTAATTTGTAGAATAATATTGTATCTAACAAGTGGGAAATAATAGTTTCTTTTTAATTAAAATATTTCATTGATATCATAATTTGAATGGTTTTCAAAAGAAACCATTTTTCATTTAATTTCAATTAAATATGAATATCCAAATAAAATCCAGTCCAAAGGTTTAGTTTGCTGATTAAAGTTGAACCGCATTTCCCCAAATTCGGCTTCTCTTGCATTTCTCAACTGTTTATAATTAAATTACCAACAACATCATTAAGAGTGCCAGCAAGAGTTGCGATTTAAAACTAATTAAGGCAATGGCAAGGCAAATTGCATAAGCGGCATAACTTTTATCGGAAAGCCGGTGCAGCAGCAGCAGCAACAACAACAAAACGAGAAAAATTCCAGCTAAGGAGGCCACATTTAAAGCTACACCTAACCTCAATTAGTTGGGGTCTCTGCCGCCCGCCCATTTCATGCTAATTAAGTCAACGCCAACGTCAACGCCGGAAATGGTGCTACGAATCCTTTGCGCAATCAAATTTCATTTCATTGCCTCAACACCCACATTCACATTCACATCCACATACACAAACCATCGTTTAATGCCGTGCGCATTTTATGGGTCGCGCGCAATATTATGCAATGAAAAATATTTGGTGTGCAGCCGTCATTTGCTTTCCTTTCTGCTCAAACTACTCGTACATACTTACTACTACACACACAGTCTCCAAACAACCGCCTCATGCAAATGGCGACCCGATAATTATAATAACCGCCGTGTGAAAAGCGCCCCATGGTCATATGAATGTGGATGCTGCTGTGCAGTTCAACTGCCCTATAATGAACTCTATTTCTCTGAAACGAAATTTCTCTGAAGGACACTTTTGTAGAAACATTTTCCTTATCAGAAACTGGTTAATGGAAAATGAACAGAAAAATCTGTTCCTTGATTATCTCTTCTTAAGTCTTAGGATTGTTGCTTCCTGGCGCAAAACTTTAAAATAAAGCTAACATTTTACGCATAACAAAGGTTTTTAAAAACATTAATGCGTTAGTTGGCTTATTTAATTTGCATTGTCACGCCATTTAGAAATTCTTTTTAATCTTTTCTTAATAAAATTTGGATTCTGTATGAAATATAATTTAACATATTGTCGGCTGAGCCACAAGCTCTATTTTATTGAAACATCTGTAGTCATTATTGTTATCTCGAAACGCGACTAGTTTGTTAACTGGCCTATCAGTTCTAGCAAATATGTCATTAAAATTATCTCACATATAAAAAATATAAGTTTTTGAATACCTGCATCAGCTTTAACTCATTTAAGACAGGGCGAGCTGTTTATACTCATTTGTCAGTTGATTTAGCTATTTTATAACTTTATTTAGCTGTCAGTTTAGGAAGCTGTACACAGTAATTATTTATTAATTCTCTCTATTAGTAATTATTTATCAATTCTATCTACTTGTTTATATAATTTTGCTGTTATTTGTTAAAGCGGAGTTTCTCTGTAGTTGCAGCTCCTCGAAATTAAACCAAATTCAATTTAATGTGCTTTATGTGCTATGCAATGAAGTAAAGTGTTTGACCAAATATTTCATGTGTCTTAACTTCTGGCCCTGTTTAATGAGCTGACTTGGCGAAATGCCTCTTCCCGTTCATCTCGGGTCTTGTGCATGTTTGTGGCGTTGGTTCATTTGGGTCTTAACCTATCGTATTTCATATTAATAAAATTTAAGTGCCGTATGAATATAGTATTTTGGATTAATTTTATGTTCATAATAGGCCTGTGCGGCAACTGGCTCGAGAGCGCATTCAACAAACTACTTCAAGGCATCACTTCTAAAGCTGGCCCAGGAAGTTATAATAGTTCTGCTACTTTTGCTTATATACTTAGTATTACCATTATGAGTTAAAGTTTTCATATTGTTTTTGGCAGTTGCACAAACAGCTGGAGGCCACTATTTGTGGAATATTTTAGAGCCATAAATTTATTTTAATTTCATTTGTGTGCTGCATTTAAATACTTTCCTTTGCATTTCCAATTTTGTTTGCGCGCTGTGGAATAAAGACGCGAAAAGCCGTTAACGAAAATACGGCAGACGAAGCCAAAATAGCAAAAGAAGTTAACAAGTACAAATGATTTTAGTGGCGCATAGTTGGCTTCACTTTTTATGTTCTACGTAATATATGTAAATGCGATGCGCTACTTTAGCTGAGGCACTACTTTATTTTTACCATTTTTTTTATGAATATAATTGGGTAACCAATTGAATGGGAATATTATTGTTTTAAACGATTGCAAAACATTTTATAAGAAGTTTATTTAATAAAGCTATTCAGTTCTTGGCGGCATTTTATTTAAGACTAAAAGCTTTTCAAGCTGTTAAAAAAGCACTAGTAGAAAAATTACTGATTATGCAAGGCTTAATAAGAATTTGGGGTTTCTCTAAATAAATTGCTGCATTTATTATACTTAACTCTTTCTACTGAGAGTCACCATATTGCTTTGTAAATATTAATTACCTAATTTGTATATAAAGAGGCTGGCAATGTCTGGGAAAAGTGTGTTCTTAATTTATCTTTTTTAACGCCCCTCAACTTTTGAAAGTGCATTCGGAATTCGTTGTAATTCAAAACATATGCGCAACATAACTGGCAGCACTTTTGTTTCAGTTTCTTTTACAAGCACACATAAATCTACAAAAAAAAGGACGAAAAAGGAAGCACGCCAGCCAACTAACAGCAGCAGCAACAACAAAGAGAAGCTGTATGTCGAGGGAAAACAAACTTACACGCCAAACTTTAAGCGCTTTGCACACTCTTGCTATTGTGTATGTATGTGTGTATGTGTGTGTGTGTATGTAGGTGGATGCGTGAGTTGGTGTAGTGTCGGTGTGCGTGTGTGTGTGTGTGTTTGCGTGTATTTATTTGACGCTTGGCAGCTGCAACAATTTCCGTTTCCGGCGCAGTTGCAAGTTGTGCGCGCATGCCGCCTCCTGTTTATTTACATAAAACAATTTTGGAGAACTTTGAAAGCCGTGCCGCTAACCATTCGACTGTCCCAATTGGGCGGCCTGCAATTATGAGAATTTTACGCTGCCAGCAAAAACGAAAAGATGCGCGGCAAGCAATTTAACAACTCTTTGCACTGACGAGGCGTCTAGACCGCGAGCTGCTGCGGCCAGCTCGGCTGCATTATGAGGTTTCTGTGCTGCTAATGGCAAAAGTTTATTCGGGCACTCGGCAAATAGTGAAGCGAGTGACATTATGAGGCTTGTCTGGCCAGATGGGGAAGGAAGCTTGTCACTTTGATGCATGAAGCGTTGCTTATTAAAATAATAACTAGCAAGTTTGCGCTTACAAATTCTCTGCAATACGTCTAGGTAAACGAATGAGGGCGGTTGTTCGTGTGTGTGTTTCTCTGGAAGCGTGTGTGTGGGTTGTTCGTTCGTTTGTTGCAAATGTTGTGGCTGCTGTTGTTTAAATTGTGCATAAATTTGCCCGTTGTTGCAGCAACTGGGCGAAAATTGGAAAACTTTATGCCACAGAAAATATGGCAGCAGTGCCGGTGAATTAAATTTTGTGTCGTGTGTGCTGCTCATTTTTACTAACAGATGTGTGGTTAACTTTAACTGCAGTTCTAAGTGAGCATACTATTTCTAAACACTCACAAGGCATAGATTATTTCGAGCTGGCTGGAGACACTCCGGGAACGTAAATATCTGCAGGTTTTGAGGAGGCTGAGAAAAAGAGCTTTAAAGAATCTGCAGTAAATAAAAGCCGTAAAGCAGTAGAAACTCTGTTTGTGTTCTTTCCGCACTCAGCAGAATATTATTTGATTATATATCATAACTATTTTGATAAATGTTCATAAAAGGTATACTTTTATTAATATTGGTCTTCGTCTTTGCATTACCAATATTTCGAAAGCTAACAGAATTAAGCCTTAATTTTGCCCCTTAAATGGAATCGAAAGCGTTCGTTAAGAATGCACATTAGCTTTTATTTAGTTATCAGCTCGATCATGGGCTTCTCTTTTACATCTCTACAAATATTGATTGATTTATAAATATAAATAATAATAATAATATAAATAATAATAAATTGATTGATTTACATAGGGCAAAACGTATTATATACAAGTACATATTTAAATATTAAACACTTTTCTTCGAAGTAAGATTGCTGGTTCTTATTTGTTTTGCTAGATTTCCAGAATTCGACCGCTATTTGAACGAACGTTAATGATGTATTTATAGACATATGTACTTCTATTCGTGCTGCTAATTTTCCAATTTGACGCTATTATTATTATTAACTATTACTAGATATACGTGAGTGTAATTATAACAATATTAAACGAGTTCAGCTGACCAGTTAAGTAAAGCTTCACCTTTCACCAGCTGAACTTCAATTAACTTTACTTAGCGATAGCACCCATGAGGGCCATTGGTTATCTGTGAAACGTGAAATTAGTTCATATAAGTGTGTATAATTGGGTAATTAGGTCTGGACTGGATTATATGATGGCCACCGTTCGAAGTATTTGCATAAAAGAAAACAGAAAATTACTTACATTCTGGCTTATTTACCAAACACTTCTCCTATTTAAGCCGAATATTTATCATCTTCAAAGTCATTTACGTAAACATTATACCGCCCTTATACAAACAACAACAACAACAACAACGCAATCATTGCTTGGACTACACTGCGTATGCTTAATTTAATAGTCAGCGTTCAGTGCACCATGAAATTTGCTAGTTGCTTGTTGGTGCTGTTGCTTTACAAGACTCAACAGCGACACTTCAGTTTGATGCGCCCCCCCCCCCCCCCCACTCCCCTACACCCTTGGCACAATTCAAAAACCCAACTGCCTGTAAAAACAAACTAATTATGACCGCGGGTGTCTTCGGAATGGCAACTAAACCCTGGCCAACTGCTGCTACGCTGAGTAAATTAAACCGTCAAGAAAATAGGAAGAAAAAAAAGTAAGAAGAGAAAAATAACAACTTGCTGGCAGACAGACAGACAGACAGACTGTTAGACAGTTTCTTGGTGAGCCAGTCGGGCAGGTAATTTAAACGTGGAGCGTTGGAAGCGAGAGGTGCTGAGAGGACGGGTCATAATAAACAGGAGCAGGGAACAAATCAGAGCACCTGGCAGAGCAAAAGCAAAAGTAAAATGGCAGCCAAGTAACATCCGCAATTGACAGTGAAATGCTTTTTAAACGCTTCTGTGGCAGCAAGGCATGCAAAGGTATTGGGGAATGAAGGACTCGATTCAGTCAGCCACCTTCATTTCACTTGGTCTGCTGCTTTTTGCTTTATTTAATTTAATTTCATTGCCATTGCATTGTTGCGCACTTTTAATTTCCAACATTTGTTTTTGTTCGCCTCACTCTCTGCCTTTTTCGGCAACAAGTTGTGAATGTATGGGTGTGTGTGTGTGTGTGTGTGTGTGTGTGTGTGTGTGTGTGAGCCATTCGTCTTTATTCGTCGCTGCAATTAGGACACACAATGAAGAGCAATGAAAAGCTGACAGTGAAAATGTTGACGCTCAATGTTTGCCTTAAATTAGAAATAACGAAAATTTAATTGTCATAAATGCGTCTGCACACGAGAGATGAGCAATTTAATTTTTAATTAAAACGTCAAAATACATCCTTACGACCATGTACAGATAACAAAAAGGCAGCTGTTGATTTCCTTTGCAGCATCTGTTGCCAACAACATTGTTAGCTGACTTATTATTTAGTGAAGTGCTTTTGATGCCAATCCAATCCAATACAAGTCTCGTTTGTTATCGTTGTTGTTGTTGTTGTTGTGGACATCTATTATTTATGAATTTCCAACATCCTATCTGGCAGGTACTGTCCTGTTCAAAGGCCACCTGCACAAGCAGCATCATGAACTTTGGCAATGCGCCGGTCGAGGCGCGCAAATCGGAGCTGGTGCTGGAGCATGCCAAGGATTTTCTGGATCAGTACTTTGCCTCGATAAAGCGGTAAGCTGCATATTAAATGTACAGTTCCTTTCTGACATGGCTCATGCATAACAGTCGTCCATACTAAATTTCTTTACAGCACCTCATCATCCGCACACGAAACGCGCTGGAAACAGGTGCGACAGAGCATTGAGACAACAGGACATTATCAGCTGACCGAAACGGAACTAATTTATGGCGCCAAATTAGCCTGGCGGAACTCCTCCAGGTGCATTGGACGCATACAGTGGTCAAAGCTGCAGGTGAGTGGGCGCGGTACATTATTTATTACTCATAAAATTTATGAGCTTTATCGAAAAAATGCTCGAAAAAATGGTCAAAAAAATGCAAAATAAGTTAATAGCGCTGTGTTGGTAGATACAAGTATGATGAATAAGGTAGACACAACATAGCAGTCTAGTTATGTATAATTTAAAGCTTTAACTTTACTTCCAAGTTGGAAATCTAGCTTGATTGGCTTTAAGTCTAGATTTGAGAACAAACAGCAATTATTATATTAATATATTATTATATATTTTAATGCAATAGAAAGAAAACTTCACATTTAGGCTTAACTAAAAGCGAGTTTTTAAGTGAAAGAGAGAATATAAAATCACAATATAATAAAATAATAAAAGAAGTTTTAGATTGTGGCATAACAAAAAGCAGTTTTTTAAATGAAAGTGTATATTATGCCTTTTTTAGTTTAATGAGAATAGTTTGATGAATTACATTTGGAAAATGTGGTTATTGTTTGCTCCAATTAGAGGGTTTGTTTAGTGCCGATAAGGCAATAATTTTACAAGTTTAGGTTCATCTTCAGGTAGCAAACGATATACACTGAGTCTAAAAGCAAATTTAGAATATATCTATACAAGTACTTATGGCTGTGATGCTCAACGTTATGACAGTTCTGCGTATTATGCCTCGGCTTTAAGAATGCATAAACTTTTTTAATTGCTTTTCTTAGTAAATCTGGCATATGTATATATGGACAGGCAATATTTTGTAAAGCCCTGCTATTGTAATAAATATTATTTTAGGTGTATTATTTTCTAAACAAAATATTAGAGATATTTGTGTTTTTCTTAAAAGAAATATTGCTTTACATTTCAATATAAAGGCCTTGTTTAACAAGAAGAGAATAATAGCGAGGACATCATATTTTTTAAAATTTGTATCACAAAGATTTTTAAAACTTAAATTTTAAGTAAAAGTTTATTACTATTAATATATATATAAAACAAAATTATTATTTAATGTATAGTTTAGTAGTCTGGTTGAGGCTATAGAAGATCATGTATTTTTTTAAAATAATTTATTTGACTCAACTAATAATTTGAATGCATAAAATTGCAAGATTTCATTAACTTTTATCCATTTCTTTAACTTTAAATAAATCATGATACATTCAAACAAATACTATATTTTTCTTTTGGCATATTTACAAAAATGATTCATTTTACTGTTAAAGGCCAGACACCTTTGTGTTTCAAAAATTAATATTCCCCATCTGAGGCGCGGCGCTTTAATGGCCTTCTCTCGCCCTCTGCACTTCAATATGTCAACTCGGAATAAGCTAAATATGTGCAATTTGAAAACTTTATACAAATAGTCGGTCCCATGCGATGACAATTGGCCGTAAAAAAAGAGCATCATTCGTTAAACAGTCAAGCAAATTTGTCAGTCTACAAATCACGACACAGCTCAGCTATGCAGAATTTATTTATACATATATGCTCCTATAAGTAGTACGAGTATGTGTGTGGGCGCTGGGGCTTCGTCATCATCATTATTCAAGATTTATGCGTGTTTCAACAAAATAACAAATGACAAATGTATGTAAAATGCGCGCCAAAGGCGATAAAAATCTGGCAGAGAGGGAAAACAAAGCGCACACAATGAATTTGAAATGCAAATCCTCGTAAATTTTAATTTTACAAATTTTGGTGTCTGCTGCACACAAATACAGATTTATTCATACCACCCGTATACGAGTATGCGAAATAATAATGATCGGCCAGGACGGGAGGGACTAATAGTTGGCATAGCAAAATGGTTGCCGGCAAGTCGTTTGACTATATATACAAGCATATACTTGTACATAGGTTTGTGTGCATGTGTGCTAACATATTTGCATTCACGCTTGAATGATTTGCCTGCGTCTGTGCCTCTGTGCGTCTGTCAAGGAGCTTCAAAAAGACGGAGACTGACACTCGAGTCACCTTGGAAATTTACTTAGCGGCATAAATATTTCATGCCCTGCCAGCAATTTGCCTTTGTTTGTGCCCAGCAAAGTAAAAGAAGCCCAAGTCTATGCAAAACTATTTTTGCTATGCTTTAAAATGATTATGCGCAAAAATGTATTCCAGCTATTCGGGATGTGCTATGATAATTTAATTTTACGCCATGACTTTCAAAAATATCAACTCAAAAGTTATCCAATAACACTTGCGAAACAAACTTTGTTGTAAACGAAATGAGTACACTCCAACAAATACATGTACATATTCGTACATATGTATATATGTATGTACATATATGAACGTGTTAAGCACGTGTTGGGGCGCACACTTGAACCCTTGACCAGTTTATAAACTTAATTAGAAAAACGTTCTACGCACACACACACACACTCTAGTCGTGTAGAGTAAAAGCTAAGCCCTGGCTAAGCAAAAACAAATCAGGAGTGCGCTCCTCTTGAAAAACCAGCACAGCAGAAAATCAAAATGAAATTGATGAGCAAAAAAATTAAGGGATTGAAGGTGCAAATGGGAACATTCGAATTGCTTCTGTTCTTGTCTATTCCTACCAACGACCTACTTATGTGTTCGTTTCCACACAGCTGACAAGCTTTGGGTCCAATAAACATACAAAGTCCATCTGGTGCCTTTGAAATTTCAAACCACAAATAGGCGAGTGTGAATGCGTAAAACAAAAAAAAAAAAAAATCATTGTATATCTGTTAATACATTTAAAGCATTATTTCAGCTATCAAAGCCGTTGGATTTAATAATCGAGTTGGTCTAAGCTGAGATTGTCATAAAAGGAAGTTTTAAGGGTATCTGTAAAATATTAAAAACTGTTTTATTCCAGCTATAATTTGCGTAAACAGAAAACATTTTTTTTAGTAAGATTTTCTTTCTTGGAAAATAATTTCTGCAAAAGTTATAGATGGATATAAATATATCATTAAATCATGTACAAATGTTGCTTGTTTTATAAGAAGTAGTAGTTTGTTTTTATTAGAAAACAACATGTTTTAATAGATCGCTCGAATTTAAGCTTTAAAAGAAACAGGTTTTAATTCGTTCACAATTTTTATTGAAATTTTTAAAGATATATGAGAAGTGAAGAGCTGCTTTTCAATGACAATTTTAATGAGATGGACATCTACGGCATTAGGCTAGACACTTATCTTATTTAACATCCAAAAGAAAACAAAAACTTTGCTATGATACAAGTTAATAATAAAGCAGATAGATGGACTAACAAGCTGATTTATTCACACGTATATAAACACATATATAACTTCTCTGCTTTTGTTACAAAAACCAATTCAAAATTGTATAACTTCACTTTGCCAGAGTATTGAAGAAAGAACAGACGACAACTTTATGTAGCCAGTATGTTTATTTTGGTACAACGATTCGTCGCCTGAGACTATGGAGATGCATTCAAGTGTAATAATTGAAAAAAGGGCTGCAATTTTTTGTGCCTAACATACTCGTGCCAGCGTGGTGTTACAAACAACAAAACAACTTGTTCAAATGCAAACAAACAAGCAAGCAAACACACATACATACATTATTGTTGCTACAACGTGTAACTGTTTTTGTAACAAGCGCCCTCCCCAAAAAAACCCGAACTCAAATCTACGCTCTTGAAACTTGTGCTACATTAATCATACGCCCTGTATGCTCGCCAACAAAAACTGATTTCATTTACTCTGCGCTCTATGAAAGTTTGACCAGCGCTGTTTATGTTTCACTTAAAATGCATGTCCAACGATTGTTTTAACTTTTAGTTGTATTGTTTTTTTTAGTTAATTTAAACTTTTGAGTATTTAGCGATTGGTATAAAAAGTTTAGCGTGTGTGATTTATTAGATAGGTAGCGGGGCATATTATATGACTATGTATATCTGTAATATTTTGCACATCTATTGAATGAATTTTTCTTTGTTTTTTACAGGTCTTTGATTGCCGATATGTGACCACAACCAGCGGCATGTTTGAAGCTATTTGTAATCATATCAAATATGCGACAAATAAAGGCAACCTAAGGTAACGATTTAATAAACATTTTATGGAAATAGATTAACAATTAGCTGGAAATTCGCAATAATATTCTTAATGTTTCTTAATTTATACAAAAAATATCTGACAAAAGAATTTGCTGTGGAAAAACTATATACAATAGATGCAGTATTATCTTTGAGAGGCGTATAGAATTGTAGTTTACCAAAACCATCGTATTAATAGTTTCATGCACAAATATTTAAGCAAAACAGGCAAATAAACTGCAGAGGGCCATCAATATATTTTTTCATTTCACGCTAAGCGCATAGATTGTTAAGCTCAAATGGTGAAAATTATCGTAATTTTGAAATTTGCTAATGCTTTTTGTGTCTCTATGAAAATTGCAAAAATGTTCAAACTTCCATTGGCAGCATACAGGCATTAGTGTGTCCAATCCATTTTCCACATAATCCACTCAATTCACATTATTAGCGTGAAAACGCGATATTTTTGAATTTGCTGCAAAAAAATAATGTTTCAACTAATTGGCTGTGAATTTTGAAGCTTTCGGCAATAAATATTCGAAAGGCAGCATCTAGAGTACAGCTCAATTGCCCCAAAATTGCTGCACTTTTCATTCTGCCAACCATTTAAGACGGCTTATGACACGAAAGTTGTTTTAAGTTTTGAACTTGCAACATTGTGTGCGAGAGCTCTTTTGGCTTATTTTGTGCATAAATATTTACTTTTGTAGTTAGCAATTCATGCTGTTGTGGCGCCATGTGTTGCCTTTTGAAAGTCTCTCGCACAATAACTATAAATACTTTATGCTGTATTTAAGCCAGTTTATGAGTAATAATTGTCCACCAGGCAATCTTCATTAATTTGTCTATTATGTTGCTTAATTGCTTATTTCAGATCAGCCATAACGATATTTCCACAACGCACAGATGCACGCCATGATTATCGCATTTGGAATAGTCAGCTTATTTCCTATGCGGGTTATAAGCAAGCCGATGGCAAAATTATAGGTGATCCCATGAATGTGGAGTTTACGGAGGTAAGTTATAATTATTATAAATATTAAAAAAAAACATTGAGTGCTAAATATAAAGCGAAATATAGCTCAGTAAATGCTTTTGCTTCAAACCCGGCGTGAAGACAAGTTTTCTACTAAGGACCATTCATGAAAAAAAGTGATTGAAAGAAAGTTCTAAAATTGAGAGAGTAAAACATTTTATCAAGAAAATTATACTGAAAAACAAGAAGCAGTTGGCTGCACAAGAATTCGAAAACAATAAAGCCCTTTGCTGTGGCAGCTGACAACGTTCTTATACGGCAGGCTATCTGCTGATGCTGCCTTTTGGAAAAAGGTAATAGAAGCACAAATTTGCGAGAAATGCAATATTTTAATTCGATTAAGACGCAGTCCACTATTATCGTTTTCCTATAGCTTTGTTGGAAGTAAACAATGTCAGCTATGTGGCTAAAACGGATAACTTACCAAGAGCTTCAGAGCTTAGATTTTTGGAAAGAGTTAACAAGTAGTTGAGTATTTAACAGAATTGAAAACATAAGTGGACTAAAATGAAGAGAGTTCTACAAAAATATTAAATTCCCAATAAGAATAAAACAGAAATGTAATTATTCTTATAAGCTAACAAAAAATGGATGAAATAGTTCAAATTTTCTTTGCAGTGCAGTCTTTAGCTTTAAATGGAAGTGAATAAAATTAAATCAAATTTTTATGATTTATATTATTGATATAAAAGGTAAAGGAAATTATAAACTAAGCAGCTACCAAACAGTTGAAACTGTTAGCCATATATCACACCAAACTGACTTTAAAGAAATTCAATTTAAACCGATTGTGAGCTACTTTTTTGTGCTTTGAATCACACAAGCTAGGTATTACATGTGGTTTTATTTGTGTATAGATGGATTTATATAGCGAACATATGTTAGCAAACAATTTGCACACATCAATTGCTGTCTTTGCAAACAATTCCCTCAACAATGCGCACAGCTCGGCGTTAGACCAACAAGTTGAAAAAAAGTAACAACAGACAACAAATGGTGCATCGTTAACCAGCTGACAAAGGCTATACATATATATATATCTGAAGCATATACATATATAGTACGTTCGCATAATAAATCTCATTTTAAATACGCAAAAAACTGAACAAACAACAGAAAGCTGTCAATAAGTACAACAACAAGAACAACTGCGAGAAACATAGAACGTGTGTATGTGTGTGGTAGGCCCGCCTGCGGTCTTCCGACATGGCCTCTGATATATGTACTATATATGCATGTAAAAGCGCCCGAAAGTATGCCATTTATTTTTACACATGTCACTTTTTATGTGCAACGCAGAGACACAAGTGTGTGTGTGTTTGATTTTCGATTGTATTTATTTTTCACTCAATTTTTTCTCTCTATTTTAAAGGTTTGCATCAAGCTGGGCTGGAAGAGCAAGGGTGGCAATTGGGACATATTGCCACTGGTTGTGTCGGCCAATGGACATGATCCGGACTATTTTGATTATCCGCCAGAATTAATATTGGAAGTTCCATTAAGTCACCCCAAGTGAGTGAAAGTTTATCAATATTTGCAAATGTCAATGCTGAAATTTTATGTGACACTAACACGCCACTGCACACACTAATAGAAAAATAGGTCAGGGAAGGATTTTGGAATACTAATAAAATGATATCTATGGCAGAGCATATTAATATAGGCTTCAAAGCATGTAAAAAGCGTTAATTATATGTATAAAATATTGTTGAGTGGCACAACAATGTCGCCATTAGATAAGATAAAGCTCTTTCTCACTGAAGAAAAATTAAAAAGAAATAAGCCACTTCTTTAGAAGACTTGAAAAATTAAGCACATTTTTTAGACTTATACTAACATTCATTCTTATTATCTATCTTTTTTCGCAGCGGAGTTTCTTCGTTTCTTATGTGTCTATTTTAACGTAAATTATAGTAAAGTGCTGGGCCTAGGAACTATTAGTTATTGAACAATGTTTGAAAATGTTGTGTGACATTATTTTATTTGTAAATAATTATTTAGGTTTTGAAGCACTTGAAATTAATGCTTCTTTAAAATTAATATATTTAAACAGTAATAGTTTCAAGAAAGTATGCAATTAACGAGTGTAGGCATTAGATGTAGCTGGTACTATTTTACTCTTGAGAATACTTGTCACTCCAACATCCAATGTCCAATATCCTTTGACCCAATAGGTCGCTGGTTTAGCTTTAAAAGTATGCTATTTTAATGGAAATGTTAGAAAGGATCACCTAGCAAACGCAATCTGTGACTGCTTTGATAAGATGGATCCGCATTGAACTGTGTGTAAGGCGTGTAAGCAAAATTGTCATAACTACTAACAGCATTTTAATTACACATCTAAAACTTCGGTAATTTAATATTGAGATTATAAGGTGTTTATTTATCAGCAATAGGCATGGAGTGGGGATTGTATGAAAAGCGCTTTATATAAACGAATCTCGTTAAATTGTCAGTGTCACGCGGCCAAAATACACTGATATTTAAATGTCAATATTTTCACTCTGACATAAATATTGCTGTCCATTTCAAAAACAGGCCTTCAGATACATTAAATAGAGTAGAAACTACGGAGCAAATTTTGAAGACTTTAAGGCGGAAATAATGAATGATTAGACAGATACGTCGCAAGTCATCATGCTGGGAGTTGCATAAAAAATACAACAAACCTCCTTAAAAGAGAAAATATCTGTTTATTTTAATGCAAGTATTTCCAAACTAGCCATACGGCACCGCTTAGTATCGATTTTTGTTTAGATTGCTTCTTTCAATTTTTTTCTCTGCACAGTTATGACAAATGTATCGAAAGGATTTGCATCAACTGGCCGCAGTTGCAGTCACTGACAATGTCAACAGACAACATGACACAGACAGCTACCCACACACACACACACACACACACACTGGCGCTGTTAGCCAAACAGATTTTTAAAGCTCTGCTTTCTGTTGCCCTTCTCTGTCTCTGCCCCACACAGATTCGAGTGGTTCACCGATTTGGGCTTACGTTGGTATGCGCTGCCCGCCGTCTCTGGCATGCTTTTCGATGTGGGTGGCATTCAGTTTACGGCAACCACATTCAGCGGTTGGTACATGTCAACGGAGATTGGCTCCCGAAATTTATGCGACACAAATCGTCGTAATATGTTGGAGGTGAGTCGAATTTATGAATACTATATTTTGAATATTATTATACGAGTACATAAATGAAAATTGCGAGAAACTGCAGCCACATTAAAGCGTGAATAAAAATTGCAAAGTATATTGTAATTTCATTATTGATAGGATGCCAACGTTGCAGCGTTGTCCTTGCTGTTTAATGTCCCTGATGTGGCGCACAGAATGGCGACGACGTTCCGGCATTTATTTCATTATAAAAGAGAGACGCTCCCATAATGTACGCTTTCACAATTTCCAGAGACTGCAGCACAAAGCCTTTGGTGTTTCATTTCATTTTTGTTACATGCTCGCCCGATGGAGGCTTAAGTGCATGCATGCCCAACTCTGTCCTGTTGTCTTGGCATCGCATCCTTGAAGTGTCGAACAAATTGGCTTTCGGCTCTTAAGCGGTTTAAATGTGCGTGAAGGTGCAAAAGTTGCAAATATTGTTAAGTGGGTATTAAAATTAAATGAACAACAAATTGCTCGTTCAATCTGGACTGCCAACCACTGCATGAAATGCAATTAAATTTAAAGCCATGTGGAAACATTTTGCCTGGCAATTCAAGTGATGTTCCAAATGTGTTGGCATTAAATATTATTTTAATTGTAGGCTTATGCAAATCAAATGGCATTACAGACTGCACAGTAATACAAATTTAGGGAATTCCTTTTAACATGATTTGGTTTGAAAAACAATGAATGAATGAAAAAATAAAAAATGTAAAAAACATTAAAAAACACTTCTTTAAAGTATGATGTTTGTGCAACCAATATTTTGTAATTAATTAATAATTTTTATAGAGTGTTAAATGGTTTATTCACACCAGTTTCTTAACCACTGTGCGCTTTGCGTAAATTGTGGTTGTAAACGAGCATAAATCAATAACAAATATATGGGTTTCTACATCTAAGTGTGTGTGTGTGTTGCTCATTGACCGCAACAGCAAAATGCATGCAACTTGTTGCAAATTTGTTGGCACAACTGGCAGTAATTTTCAATTTTAGAAACGACCTGCACAAACACTTATGTGAAAGCCACAATATTTAACAATTTGCAGCAATGTGGAGAGATGGGGAAATGAAAGTTGTTGTTGTTTTATATTTGCTTACAGACAATGGCTCTGAGGATGAATCTGGACACACGCACACCCACCTCACTGTGGAAGGATAAGGCGGTTGTGGAGATGAATATAGCCGTGCTGCATTCATATCAGAGTCGGAATGTGACGATTGTCGATCATCACACGGCCAGCGAGAGCTTCATGAAGCATTTCGAGAATGAGTCGAAGCTGCGGTGAGTTATAATCGGATTGATGGGTAATTAAGATATGAGCTTAAAGCGCAAAAGGATGCGCATAGTTTCCTGTTACTTATTTTTTCCAAGTGGCGTATACGAGTATGTAATATTTATTTTTTATTTTGTGTATGGCTGTTCGCTTTATGGCATATCACAGCCGCAACTTTATGGCTTGACGTGTTTTATTTGACTTCCGTTCGCACAGACATCTACCCTTACACACATGTGCACACACATATACAGAGAGAGAGAAGGACTCGCTCAGCTCGCAAAACTCTTCCTGTTGGTTGTTGTCAGTGCCCGCCATGCTGGTTTTTATCATGCAGGCGCGAATTAAATTTATTGTTTTCAATTTGCTGTTGCCAGCACTTATGGCGGTACACACACACACACACACACACACTCACACACTCACTCACTCCCTCATAACCATGCATTCAGTAGCTTTCACACAATATGTCAAACTTTCTCCACATGCAGGTGCTATGTACAGAAATTATTTGATCATTTTTCATATTTTATTTGTGGAGGCATTTTGAACTTTTATCGTTCGGGGCGCGTATTTATTGCTTCGACAAGCCATAAATTAGCCAAAACTGGCAACAATTCGCCAGCTGCACAAACATACTTACATATTCGTATATGTATGACTAAGGCAGTTCGAGAGTTTCAGGAGTTGCCAAATATAGATGTTATTCGACAGTTTGCTGCTGGATGAAGAGTGATGACAATTTAAATGGCAGACAAGGCGACAACCTTTAGTTATGTTTTAGCTAAAAATCGGGGATGCAAGACACCTTGTTAAGAATTTATAACAAGTTGCTGGTACATAAGAGTTTGGAAATTTAAAGAGAAAATGCTCATTCAGCAGCATAAACAAAATTCAGCCTGTTTTCTATATATGTAGTTATTTATGTATGCAAAACATTTATCTTTATTCCGAACATTTGAAAGTCGCACCCAACACATTATTTCCAATAATGTTTACTGCCGTTTACTGCTAAATCAAATACCTAAGCTGCTCGACTTTAAAATACAAAATGCTGCTATTCTTATCGCCCACAACCATAAGAACAACAATTAAGTCAATTTTGGGAACATGCCATTAATACCCGTTCGTGCACAGAGATACGCAAAAGTTGGAAGACAACAGAGTTGGCATTCGGTGTCTAAAAATAGGGGCCATACATATTTCAATTAAAGCCAATTTGCATTTTGCCTCTGCTAGACAGAGCGCTTTGTCTCTGCTAGATTGCTGTTGTTATGCGAATGTGTTTGGCAGGACGAAACTAACATTTTGTATCTCATTGCCTTCAATTAAGCCAGTGGCAATAAAGGGCACCAGGATGAATTGGGGGGAAACGTATAGAGTCAGCCATTAGCTCGATGCTAAGGCATTATGTCAATTACTTCCAATAAGCGAGCACAAAAGGGGCTAGAGATGAAGAACAAACAGCAGCAATAACAGTGAAATGTTTTCCGCTTCTCTCTATCTCTTGCTCTTATTTCTGCACAGAAATGGCTGCCCCGCCGATTGGATATGGATTGTTCCGCCACTTTCCGGCTCCATAACGCCGGTGTTTCATCAGGAGATGGCTCTGTATTATCTAAAGCCCTCGTTTGAATATCAGGACCCCGCCTGGCGTACGCACATCTGGAAAAAGGGACGTGGCGAGAGCAAAGGCAAAAAGCCAAGACGTAAATTTAATTTTAAACAAATCGCTAGGTAAGTACTCGTTACCATTACCTTTAGCCATTTAAGCAGACCTCGTCCTTCCGGCTCCTCTTCTATTACGTGCAGTCGTGAAAATGCTCACAACCTTTTGCTTGCTGATGGCAAACACTGTCGTATATACGTATTGTGTGTGTGTGTATTTAAACTGCGACTGTAGCGTGTCACATGACAGCATCAGCTGGGATTAGCCTTTAAGTAGATTACACGGATTGTGGTTTATTGCTACCGGTTGTCGACGATCTCGCCCAGCGTCTTCATCATTGTTGTTGACGTTTTCGTTGTTGTTGTCCCTGCCATCAACTCGACTGCAAAATTTGATTCTTTATATTTTGTTTGCTATTTGCATTGTTACTCGTATTATAAACAATATTTTCACTGCAGCTTTGTATGTGAAGTCTGTGACGTTTTGTAAGCGCTTCTAAGGATTTATCAAAATATGTTTAGTTGGCAATGGAAATGTGTGCAAGTTTTTATTCACTTAACAAAGTCTGGTGTCTTCTTGTCTATAAAATGTCGTTCTAGTGGGCAGTTGTACATTTTGGTTGCTTGTTAAGAATAAGACCTTAATTGATGTTATTAAGAACTGCCTACATATTTCATAATCACTAATCAGTTGACCAATTGCAGCACATATTCTCATTTATTAAGTCTTCGTAAAGCTATGTGGCAATCAATTTGCGGTCTACCAAGGCCTTAAGTATTACTGCCATGCCACCAAGTTCTATTGTATTTTAGTGCGTATTTAAAATCTTCAAAGTCAGCTCTTGAATCATAATCCTGAGCTGAGCTGTGAGTTTTTGGCGCTGACGCGTCGTTGATGGATGGGATATTTCAAAACATCAGACGTTTTAATAACTAAATACTCCATCATGGCACAATTGGTTTCTGTTTTAAATTACAACGAACTGTACAAAAACAATTGCCTTTTATTATGCCACTGTTTAAAGTTTTAACTAACATTTAGGCTAAGACTTCATAAGCTTTCCACAAAGGACTCCAAAGAACTCATTAACGCATTTTATGCAGCAAACTATTTTCTTATATATCATTAAAATTCTTTCTCCATTTAAGTTATCATTTCACAGCAAATTAATAGCATTATTAACGTTTTCAAGGCAACTTGCAATCGCGCAATTGTGTGTGAAAAATGTATACACGAACAATTTGCATTAATTAAAATAATCAAGCATTACAATGATTGACAAACAACATGATATCAATATTATAACTATATGTTGAACACGCGATAAACAAACGGCAATTTAATGAGTTGTTAAATAATAATTATATTGATACATATTTATTTAACGCCAGTGTTTTCAACTCGTTATACACGTACATTAATGCACTCGGTCAGTCAACCAGCTTGCGCATTTTTGCCAGCTAATTATTTTTAATTTGTCGCAATATGCAGAGCCGCCGCATTACGCCACTCAACAAGTGTAAATGCAGAGAGCAGTGAAAAGGGCAAAAATGCAGTGCAAATGAAATGAAATTATGAAAAACTTGTCAATTTAAATGATAAACTGGCATTTATGCGACTTCATAAAAGTTTCATTAGGCTGCGCAGTTTTCGCTGAGTGGTTAAACAACGTTTTAATGAATGGCGTTGAAAGATCAACACGCACACATAATCACACTCAGATATGAAGTACATACTCTACATATACATATGTATGTGTATAGGCAGAGACATAATTAAGTTTAATTGTTTCAGCACGCGCCTTAATGGAATTAAATCAACGCGCTGACATCGACAAGTTTATGAAAATGAAATTATATTTGTATGGACGCGCATAAAAGTATGCAACAGAACGTGTAAAAGTCGAAAGCGCCCCCTGTTGTTGTTGTTGTTGTTGGTTCACATGCTCGCAAGATTGAATTACAGTTGAGCTGAAAACGAGCACACAACTGCGACAGTGGGCGTGTCGCCGTCTCCTCATTTTAGTTGAAAAGTAGTTTAACTCATTTGCGCAAACGTCACAAGCAGCAGCAGTGCCGAAATAGTCACACAATCAGACACAATGCGGCTTGAAGACAACGCACAGTGGGCTATAGCTTGAGATAAAGCAAATTCTTTTTAAGATAATTTATTGGTATATGCAGTCCTCAGCTCTAAGAATGAGCTTGCAATTAGAAACGAATCATTGTATACATGTACAAACTCGTATATGGTGAGGCCTTTCAAAAGCTTTGACCAAAGATGATCTCTAGAGCAGACCGCAGCAACGAAAGGAAACAGCAAGCAATGAACAATTCAAATTGTTAACCCATTTTCTTAATCTGGTTAGAAGTGTGTCTAAAAGAGTATGAAGTGTTATGACAAATAATTAAAGTTTTATTAATGTTAGAGTCTGCTGATGATACAGACATCTACTGCCTCTCTTGAAAGATTTCTGTTTATTTGCAGTTCGGTTATGAAAAGAAAGTGAGGTCAGACCTGGAACTTGCAAAAGAAATGTTTTATAAGCACCCAATAAAGAATGTGATATTTATGAACTTTTTCATGGCAAATCCTAGATCTAGAAATAAGTACAGACAATCATTTAATGAAAATCAATATGTGCACATTGATTTTTATTTGAGTTTGACGCACTGTGTCGCACTGGGCCTCAAGTGTTTGTCTCGCAGCCTTGGGCGCATTGAAGCAACAGCTTTTGTTCCACTTTTCTTTGCTGTCTACTCGCAACGTCAACATTTTTGTTTTGTTCTCATTTGGTTTTATGGGGAATGGCGTTATGTACATAAAATGTTATATTACGCTTCATTCGAATCTTTAAAGCATCGCCTGCTCCTGCTGCTCTTGCAATAAAAATGGCGTAACTCGCAGTCGCTTATTGGCATTCATGTGCTAACATTTTTACTATTTATTCACTTTAGTTTTGTTGCTGTTCTGTGTGTGCTTGTCCTGCCGACAATTTCCAATTATATAGCTTGTCAATCAAGCGACCACATATGTGAGCTATTACATCACATAAAAGGCTTATAACTGTAATAGTGTCTTTGATGCTGACGGCGCTGCAACGTTTTAAGTGTGTGTGTGTGTATGTTAGTGTCTGTTTTTGAAGCTTTAACAAAAGACTTATGAATATGTATATGATACAGCGTTTGCCGTCGTATCTTCAAACTCTACAGCTGCCGCTCTTTAATTCGTCGCCTTCTTCTTCCTCTCTGACAGGGCTGTGAAATTTACATCGAAGCTGTTCGGGCGCGCCTTGTCGAAACGCATAAAGGCGACGGTATTGTATGCCACAGAGACTGGAAAATCGGAACAGTATGCAAAGCAATTATGCGAGCTACTGGGACATGCATTCAATGCCCAGGTAAGTTTAAATTTTCAAATAAAAATGATTGGCAGGGCCAAAAGGGAACCAAACCTTAAATGCAAGTAAAAAGAGTAGCTTTTAAATGTACACGGATGTATGGGATAATAAATTTAGAGCTCAGTTTTAATTCAATTGAATATTAAAATCTTTTCGAACAAAGAAGTCGATGATATTTGATTATTGGTTTACTTATCTCATACTCCAAACACTTTATAAGAATCTCCATTAAATAATATTTAAAAGTCTAGTTTAAATGACTCTAAAAAACCTGCACTTTTAAACGGCAACATTTTCATTATAAAAAAATGGATAGAAAAAATATATATAGAAAGATGCTGTGGTCGGCCACACACATTAGCCACGTGGCAAAAATTAGCATAAAGGAAACTGTGGCCAAGCGGTCGTCAGCTTAGGTTGTAGAACGCTCCTCATTAGAGCGCATTAGAGCCATGTGAGTGTCCATTTACATTTAAGCCACACAGACTTAGCATAAAAAGCAGCTGGCACTGGTCTGTTGCCAAATAGATAAGTAGCCCAAAAATCGAGCGTGAGCTCAGGTGTCATTGTGTGCGACAAAACACACACACACATACAAATACACACAGATATTTGGGCAGCTCATTAAAGCTGTGCGTGAGGTCAAGATAATTGGCACAGCAATGAACATTAAAGTGTTGGCCATTTTGCTGTTGGCCTGGCCGAAAACTACAAACAAAGTTAACTAAACATTGTTTATTCATTAAGATATATTGCATGTCCGACTATGATATATCCTCCATCGAGCATGAGGCATTGCTGATTGTGGTGGCCTCGACCTTTGGCAATGGAGATCCACCGGAAAACGGCGAGGTGAGTGCCAAGATATTGAACATATCTGCACAAATAATTACATCAACTGAAGCAACGTTTATGAAAATTGCTATCGACACGTCAATTGCGCATTAAGGCAGCACTAATGACCCGATTTAAGCACTAAGGAGCTGCTTAATGATATCTAAATGCTTTCCATTGCCTTACAGCTGTTCTCACAGGATTTGTATGCGATGCGAGTGCAGGAGTCGGGCGAGCATGGGCTGCAGGATTCCAGGTAAGTGTGCCAGCTTTAAGCTCTAATAAAAAGTCAATAAATTTAATGCTGTGTCTGCAGCAGCGGCTTTGCATAAATTTCATATAAATCAATTTTGCAACGTTTTTTCATATACGAGTACCCCCATAATGCGAAATTTATATAAAAAGCGGCCACAAAATTGCCTTTCAAGCAAGTTTTTCCCAAAGGGAAAGGCGCAGGACACAAAGCGTCCATAATTTGCTCAGCATTAGCTTTTATTGTCGCCCAATTTCGTAAAACAAGGCGGCTTATGTAAATGTCAGACGCTGGACAACGGGCTGTATGCGTACAATTTTTGATAATTTTCCGTTGCATACTCTTCGGCGCTGCTCATAAAATGCCTGCCTGCCTGACTGCCTGTTGGAAAAATTTTAAAACTCTTGCAACTAATTAAATTTTTGACAAGTCTGATAGCCAACCCGACCTTTGTACAGTGGTTGATCAATATGCCAGTTATTCAAGTTTCAAAGGTAGAGGAAGGGCACTTGTTTATATTAAATTCTAATGATAATTTAGCAATCAATTTATGTCACAAAAGAGAATTTTTTTATGCTTTTCCAAAATTTTAAGCGAATAAGCACAAAACAGGTCTACCAACGAGTGTTCGTAGATTACACACTTTTCTGTTCGATTAGCGAAGTTGTATTTCAAGAAATAATATAAAAATATGCGCTTTTGTTATAATAGGTTAGTTGTGCAACCAACAACTTCAGGGAAATCAAATGAAAATTGATATAAAATAATTACTTGATTTGTCGGTATATACGAGCATAAAGCTGCATTAAAAATTAAACACATCTTTAACACTGATTTGCCAATTGGCCGTTGGATTTCTAGAGACTGTTAGCAAAGCCGCTTACAACTACACTCATATTTTCACCACAATTAACAACGCTAATTATGTTTAACCCAAAGCTCTTAAGTACTAAATAGGGGATTGTTACGAATGATAGATGAAACTATAATCGATGTTGTTAGGTATTAAGGAAAATAATACACATCCCAACCTGTGATGTGATTAATGAGGAATAAAGCGTTGAGTTGAAACCCCCTTTGATCTGCCATTTTCGTGCTTTTTATTATACAAGTAATTTGTTATTACCTTTAAGTTAGCAAGGAATGAAAAATATAGGTCCAAACAGGAGTTAATTTTCTTGCAAGAAAAAACAGATAATTTCAGATATAGTGTGCATTGATTTTCTGTAATCATAAACTTCAGAGTACTAATGAAGTCTAGCTGGAAACTTTATATAACGTATAACGAAGCTTACAATTTCAAAGAATAAAAAGCACTTGTTCACATTTAATTACGCTTAATTGACATTATTAGGTTTTTACTTTACTCAGAATTTTGGAGTTACGTTAACTTTTTTATGGCCACAGGGCATATTTTAAATTTGTTATTTTTATTAATTGGGAGCTGGGCGTTGTTGTCAGATATCTGCTGCTAATACATGCTTCCTTTACGTTTCCATATACATATGTGTGGAAAATACACTCACACACCCTTAGACATTTTCTTAAGTGCGTGCCTCTGCGTCATGTAGGAAAATCCGCGCAATTTCCTTTGCCTGCCGCCCAAACAATAACAATAATTTTGTTATTTCGATATTTCCGTTTCTGTGTGTGCGCCTGTGTTGTGTCTTTTTTATGATGTAAAGGGGATTTCCGGTTGACAACTTTGACAACTTAGTATGCTACGCATACAGACACAGAGGCACACACATGTCTGTACATTTATCCTCTCGTGTATGGCTAAATTTATAACTGCACATGTTGTTGAAAGTGAAATTGAAAATTCATACGAAAGCCGCTGTGCGAGTATTGTAGAATATCGACAGATGCCTGGCAATGTGTGGCAATTCAATAAAACATGTTAAGCGACATGCGGCGGTCCTGTCTGTTCAAAAATTGCCTGTGGGACCTTGAAAGCTTCGAGTCTTCGCGACTTTAAATGCTACGCTCTGTGTGTTTATTAAAATTAATGCCAACATTTTGTTGCCATAATCGTGCGTGTGCTTGTGTTTGCTTGTTTATCAATTTGTACTTATAATAACAATCAACAAGCAATACAATGCCTAAACAGGGCTGGCCGTCTTTTGTTGCCGCTTACGGCTCCGGATTAGCTGTGCCATGTTTTCGGTTGTTTGTCTGTCTGTCTGTCTTTTTTTCTCTCTCCTGCCTTTCAATGTATTTGGCAGCTTGGCAACCAATTATTATGATTTATTATTGGTTATTTTTTATGCTGTGGTTAAGAAAGCGCATGTCATGTTTTATTATATTCCTGTTTAACATAAATTACTCAAATCTTGAAGTCCAATCAGCTGTAATTAATGCACTTATATGCAAATAAATTGAGTTAGATGTTAGGAAAAAATATTAATTATTCACATACTTTTTAAATGTAATTTTAAACATGTGTGGCATAACGATTGTACAAGTAGTGCATGCAATATTTATAAGAATTATTTTTTATGTTTATACGAGACTAATCGTCTTTCTTGTATTTTGGGAAATCTTTCCCTGAATGCCTATTGTGTCTCTCTCTTAATTTTTAAAATTAAGCAATATTACAAACATTGCTGTTGAAATTGGTCCAACATTTTTTAATTGGCTGCAATCAGATCTTGGTTAAATAATGAAAGTGTTCGGCTTAGAGCCACGAAATAAATATTGAAATAAATGAATTAATTCACATTTATGTTTTCTATCTTAATCGCCAAACACAAGCGCCTAGTAATAGCTAAATGAATAGTTTGAATTCCTTCAAATATTAAACTACCAATTACTACCAGCGTTTTTATTGCTTACATTTTGAAAAGCAATGTATTTCGTCCGGCCATTTATACTATATTATGCTCACCGATATTTGCATTTAAGTGCTAGGAATACAATCTATTCTATCCAATTAAAATGATATACCTCTTATGTATTTTTGATTATTTATTTATCAAAGAGTGCAGTTAAAAAGTTCAATTTATTCAATTAACACCTCCCATTTGATTATATAAGTGGTTTGCCCGAATTGTGCATCTTTCTTGCATAATAGCCGAGTATCTTACACGTGTCAGATTTTCTCAAATATTTTTAGCAAGTCAGGAGCTACTAGTATGTGCAATTTAAAGCAACAGCTCAGGATATTCATACACAAGTAGGCTTAAGGCATAATATGAGCTGCTTTTTGGTTCTTTTGCCACTTGACTGGCTACAAGACTGGCTGCCTGTAGGCGATTGACGCTCGGAAATTGCTTTCCTGTTAATTGTTTGCCTCAATTGATTTCATTTTAAAGCTGCACAACTTGAAAAACTTGTCGAAAGTTTTGCCGGCACCCCTCCACCCCGCACAAGTCCCACAAGTGACGAGGCGAGATTTGACTGGCAATGCAAAGTTTAATAGTTGCTTAATTGTTTGGAAATAGTTGAAGTCATGCAAAAATTGCTATTTTTCTGCGAGTTTTTCGGTATTTAATGGCGAGCATGTAGTGTTGAAATAATTTCAGCATAGTACATTCTAGGGAACTTTGCTGTTTATTAGAAATTCTAGTTTGATGGTTTCTTTTAAACTGTATGTCATGTGTAAGCAAAAACTTCAACACTTCTTGGTGTTTAGAAATGAGTTGAACTTAGATATCTCTGACAAAGAATAATTAAAATACATTTTCTGAAGAGCAGCCTATTCAGTGAAGCTCTGAAATTTTTAGAGTTCTTTCAAAATAGTTTAAGGATGTAGGAGTCTAGATTAAGAAAAAACGGCCAGTTAGATTATTAAAGAGTAGAGAGTTGGTTATTTTTTCGTCTCTAAACTGCTTTAGAACCGGGTTGAAATTGATTAAAGAAGGTTGCTGAACCTAATCGTGTGCCAAAATGGAATGGGTTTGCAAGTTATTCCGAAATGTCGCTTGATAGCTTAGATTAGATGTCTACATTTTGTATGTAGGCCGGAAATATACCACGCAAAGGTTTATTAATTGTAATATGGTCATAATTTTGGTAGTGCTTAAAACATTATATTTTGCTTTGAGTGTTTTGCCAAATCATGATACTGTGAAGAGCAGATGTTTATTAAATAAATCGAATGCGAATAAGGTTTTATTAATATCAACTTAAATGCTACAATTGCTAGCAAAAGAATGTTATTTTTTAAAAGATATTGTTTTTATTAATGCATATAGCATTGTCACACAAATAAACATTATCTGTAAAATGTTTCCCACTGTATTTTGCCAAAAATTCGTATCAGATAATGCTATCGAATAGCTGGCAAAAAATCAGTTAGACTGATTATTTATTTTACTATCGATTCTGTTTTTCACAAAAGTCGGCAGTACTTGTAGTTTTCAAATTTGTATTGTTTTGCACTGCCTTTGGAACTAATTAATTGACATTGGCAAGAAAATGTGGACAACGTTTATTTACTAGGACACTTAATTGCTACCAATTTGGGTGTCACATTAAATAAACATTAAATAGTCGCAATGTTTATGCCCAAAGTGCACAATCAACTTCAATGACACAGTTGCTGTTGCCGCTCACAACATTGGCAGCTGCTGCTTAGCGTTTTGTGGTGTGTTTGTCAGCTCAAGTGGCTCACTTAATTGCAGTCTATTATGCCATCAACGCCTGTGAGTGTGCTCTGAAGTGTCTCGCAGACGGCTCATGTACGTGTGGGTGTGTGTTTATGTCCCTGCCAGTGTGTTTGTGTGTGCGTGTGGACTGACAGCATCCGTATCCGGCGTGCACACCTTCACACACACACACACACACACCTACATAGAGTGCATTGGCTGCTGTTGGTCCTCGAGCTTAGCATAACTGCACACAAGTGCCACTTGGCATGCAACTCAAAGACGTCATCATCAACATCACCATCATCATTGCTGAGCGTTGGGCGTGTCGAGCATAACAGTTTTTATAAAGTTGCATTTATTAGAATTTTTCAACTGGCAATTACTTTATACCGAAGTGCAATGAATTTGCATAATGAAGCACAACAAAAACACGCACACAGTCTCAACAAAAAAGTACTGTAATAAATGTGTACTTGTCCGACCCTTCAACAGCTTTTTCAATAGCTTTTTAAAGTGCACAAAACAACTATACAGGTGAGCCTCTGCTAGGTGAACTTATTGAAGACTATTCGAGTTTTTCATTGTTATTTTTTTAATAATTATAGCTTATTATTAATTCTTAATTAGAATGGGGTTTTATAGCCAGCGCACTCAGGCTTCAATGATACCAAAACCCAGTAGGAATTTAAATAAATTTTTATGATTGTATTGCTTGAAATATTTGAAAATTCGTAGACGAACAACTCAGTGTTTTCACAGGCAGATAGAATTAGCGGTTGCTCGACTTGCAGGGCTTCTGTGCTATGCTACTCCAATAAAAAGCCTTTAACGACGATCATATAAATAATATCTGACCAGATGGCAGTACTTGTTGCAAAACTTGTTACTCTACAATAAATATGATTGATTTTTACTCTAAACGCTCGTTTTTTTTTAAATCAGCTTTAAAAGACAAGAGAAATCTCTATTGCCACCTTGAAATAGTTTATTTAACCAGGAATAATCGATAGCTGGAGAAGTATTTAATGTTTCCATACATGATCAAATTCGAATCCTTGTAGAATATTACTGAGGGAGCCTTCACTGCAGGGGATGCTGCGCTCTGCCCTTGCGTGGCGCACAAAATTGTGTTGCGTGCTTTTAGGCTGCATGAGAATTTATGATTTGGCCGAGCCAAGCCAATTTCTCACAGCTTGCCAGCGTTTTAATTATCCTTCAGCACTGCTTGTTTCTACCTCCCACGCTTTTTAGTGTTTTCTTTTCTGCTCTTTTTCTGTATTGCTGTTGCCACCTGCCACCGTCGCGTGTCTAGCTGTAAACTACGACACTCTTTTCACGCTATGCTGCACTTTTGGGTTGCCAAGTGCACAACAACAGCAATGGCTGCCAACATCCTTGTAGCCAGCCCTCTGCAGTTAGCAAGATGAAATGTGAGATATCTTTGGCCGTTTGTCTGTCTGTCCGCCCGCCTGTTCGTGTGCTTGTGTTGATTTTTGTTCTTGTTGCTTGTGTTGTTATTCTTAAAAGCGTGTGATTAAGTTGATAAGCAGTAGCACGCAGCTCAGCTTAATTCAACACTGCTCGACTCAATTCAGCCAGTTGTAGTGCCTGGACGTATTACACTCGGTCAGGACTTGGCACATTGGTATTGGTAATGGAAACGATAGGCAAATAGCAGAGGTGGGCAAGGCTTAGCTTCTACTGCCTGTACCTACTTATACTATACAAGCATTGTTTGCTTGATTGGATGTGTGTGGGATTGTGAGCTGGCCACTTGAATCGAACATAACAAGCTAATGCAATAACTATTCTATTGCTGTACTTTTCTGGTTTAAGCTCTTCATGTAATTGGCAAGAGAAGATTACCTTTTAGCAAAGGACTGAAGCGCTCTTCTAAAGTATTATGCAAATTACACGCGGGCAATGGAAAAACACTTGGTTTTTAAGAGCTCTGTTTAAAGGTCAACAGAGAGTTAAACGTCTGAAATCTTAAAATGAAATAAATAAAAACAAGAGTTGTTTTTGATAAGATAAAAAAAGAGCTTAGTGTTGTACCGGTATACGTTTATAAATATAAGTTTGAAGTTGAAGGCATATATTTGTAGCTATATTTCAAGCCAGTAAACTTTTTTAAATACTCCTAGACTATAAGTCATTAATCGTTGCTTAGAAGCATTGCATACAAGTAGAACAATGCAGATGTTGCCACTGAAGAGCTATGGTGCAGCAATTATATTTATAGTAAGCTGTTATATACATTTCTTTTGAGACTTGATTTTAATTCATTTTAAGGCTTAACTCAACAAACTTAGAGTTGAATACAAGTAAAGTATTCAATAGCATAAGTGTAGTCCAAAGCGCAAAAGGGTATATTGGCTTGAAATTAAAAATGTTAGAGCATACACACTTAACTGACTCATAATTTAAGAATATTTTTAAAGAGCGACTGCCCCAAACACTAACCCATGGCTTGGTCAACTTTGCGGTCAGTCAATTGGAGTCCTTCCAACCCAACGCCACATTAATAAACGTATTATCCTACAACTTGTAAAGCATACCCTCTCATGCTAGCTGCATGAGTAGAGCTGCCATAGAGCTACTTACAACATGTAGCACATCGCAACATGAACATTTTGCAGTTCATTATGTAACATCAACAGGTTTTTACGACTTGCCAAATAGCCATAAACTTTGACCCGAAAGCCAAGCTGAGCAGCAGCAGCTCAAATAGTTTTAAACGCATTTGCCATCAGCAGCAGGCGAGCGCAAGATGTTAAGGAGACCCATTGAAGCTGCTGCCAGTGCTCTGTTTTCAGCAGGATTTAAGCTGACAGTGGCAGGAACAGGAGCAGCAGCAGCAGCAGGAGATTCTGGGAAAGGGCCTGGGGTACGAAAGCTGGCATTGCAATGGCCACAAAGCGGATTTGAGTCGCAGTTGTCTTCGTGCGCTTTAAAAACTGCCACTGTTCATTGTTGAATCATCACTCAACCTTTGTGGAGGGGGCGCGCAGTTGGCCAAATGCCACGCCCACATGCTGGGCGAAATGTTGTTGTTGTTGCTGTTGTTGATGAGGCTGCTGACGAGCGGATGATTACGCTTTTTAGCAATTGCTCGCAAGTCGAGACTAGTCGAGAGCGGACAGAGTCGAGCAGCAAAGTCCGTGCAACTTTTTTTGTTTAATGTTTACTTTTTGGGTTTACTTTTTGCTGTGCATTTGTATTTGGCAAATTTTTGCAGCGCATTTTGCGTTTTGCTACATGAAATGACAAGCGTAATAAATGCTTTGCTGTCAGCTATATATACTTATATATATTTTTAGCTGTATGTATGTGAGCGCCTTGCTATTGTTGTTGCCTTCTTTGCCGTGTCCTTTGTTGCTCCACTGTTGCACAACAGCAGGCGTCCCACGCCTTTTGTTAGGGCTTTTGTGAAATATGAGCAAAGCAAGCAGCAGGCAGCGCATTTCAATCCGAGTCTCTTTGTTTGCAGCTTTTTTCTTCTAGTGTATAAATGCGGTCCCTTTTACTCATGTCCATGTATCTCTTACTCGCTAGCATTGCCGTCGGCTCATCCAAGTCCTTCATGAAAGCCAGCTCTCGGCAGGAATTCATGAAGCTGCCGCTGCAACAAGTTAAAAAAATCGATCGTTGGGACTCACTGCGCGGCTCAACCTCTGATACCTTTACGGAGGAAACCTTCGGACCACTCTCCAATGTTCGCTTTGCCGTCTTCGCGTTGGGCTCTTCGGCCTATCCAAACTTTTGCGCTTTCGGACAGTATGTGGACAATATATTGGGCGAGCTGGGCGGCGAGCGACTGCTAAATATTGCGTATGGCGATGAGATGTGCGGCCAGGAGCAATCGTTTAGAAAATGGGCACCAGAGGTGTTCAAGGTAAGTGACATACCTGTAAGAGTTTTAAAGTAGATCCATCTATGTATATATGTTTTTCATAATAATCGTGTGTTGTATGGTGCGGAAAAAATACTCTGAAAAGTCGTCGCACCTAAATTCTTTTATATTGCTGTTTAGATTTCAAAGTAAAGCCCAGAAGAAATTAATGCCTTTGGCTGCTATTATACAAGTATTCTAGTATTAAGCAGTTGTTCGGTTAAATTGACAGAGCTCTAGCATTAGTTAGTCGACTGCTTAATATTCTCTATTTATCAGCTCCAGCGACAAATAACAACTTAATATTTAAGCACATAATGATGGAATTTTACAGCAAGTCTTGAATAATGCTGAGCTGTTGTATTCCCAGACATCTTTTAGTAACCAGAAAAAGCGTTGTAAAATTTATAGCTGGCCTGTGAAAGTTTTTATCTACTTGTAGATCCAGAAGAAAGGCTTTTTAACCACTTAATATTTAAGCATATAGTGACGGGATTTCATTCAAAAAGTGTTAGGAACAACAGCAACATTTTATCTAGATCCAGAAGAAAGTCTTTTTATCAGCTCCAAGTCTTGAATAATGCTAAGCTGTTGTATTCTTAGATAACTTTTAGTAACCAGACAAATCTTTGTTAACATTTTAGCTGGCCTGTGAAACTTTTTGTCTAGACCTAGAAGAAAGTTTTTTTTATCAGCTCCAACGATGAATAACCACTTAATATTTTAGCATATAATGATAGGATTTCATTCAAAAAGTTTTCAGATTAGGAATTACATTTTTAAGGCCAGTCTTGCATAATGCTAAGCTGTTGTATTCTTAGATAACTTTTAGTAACCAGACAAATCTTTGTTAACATTTTAGCTGGCCTGTGAAACTTTTTGTCTAGACCTAGAAGAAAGTCTTTTTTATCAGCTCCAACGACGAATAACCACTTAATATTTTAGCATATAATGATAGGATTTCATTCAAAAAGTTTTCAGATTAGGAATTACATTTTTAAGGCCAGTCTTGCATAATGCTAAGCTGTTGTAGATATTCTTAGATAACTTTTAGTAACCAGACAAATCTTTGTTAACATTTTAGCTGGCCTGTGAAACTTTTTGTCTAGATCCAGAAGAAAGTCTTTGTGCTTCTCTGGCGCTGCAAAACGAATCCTTGACTGTGAATACGGTGCGTCTGGTGCCCTCGCAGAGCAAAGTCTCGCTGGAGAACGCCCTGTCCAAGTATCACAATAAGAAGGTACATTGCTGCAAAATCAAAGTGCAGCCCCACAATCTGACGAAGTTGAGCGAGGGGGCCAAGACCACAATGCTGTTGAAAATATGTGCGCCCGGACTGGACTATGAGCCTGGGGATCATGTGGCCATATTTCCAGCGAATAATGAGCAATTGGTCTCGGGTCTGCTGCAGCGCCTGGCCGGTGTGGAGAATCCCGATGAGGTGCTGCAGCTGCAGCTGCTGAAGGAGAATCAAACGTCGAATGGCATTTTCAAATGTTGGGAACCGCACGACAAGATACCAGCCGATACGCTCCGCAATTTGCTGGCGCGTTTCTTTGACTTGACAACGCCGCCATCACGTCAAATGTTGACACTCTTGGCCGGCTTCTGTGAGGATGCGGCGGACACGGAGCGCCTGCAGCAGCTGGTTAACGATTCGTCCGCCTATGAGGATTGGCGCCATTGGCGTCTGCCGCATTTGCTGGATGTGCTCGAGGAGTTTCCATCATGTCGACCGCCCGCCTCATTGATCCTGACCAATCTTATGCCCCTGCAATCGCGTTTCTACTCAATTTCCTCCTCCCCCCGAAGAGTGAGCGACGAGATACACTTGACAGTGGCCATCGTCAAGTATCGCAGCGAGGACGGACAGGGGGACGAGCGCTATGGCGTCTGCTCCAACTATCTGGCTGGACTGCAAGCCAACGATGATGTCTATATGTTTGTACGCAGTGCTCCAAGCTTCCATTTGCCGGCGGATCGCAGTCGACCTGTGGTGCTCATTGGTCCGGGCACGGGTATTGCGCCTTTTCGCTCCTTCTGGCAGGAGTTCCAAGTGCTGCGCGAAATGGAGGAGTCAGCCAAGTTGTCCAAAATGTGGCTCTTCTTTGGCTGTCGCAATCGTGATGTCGACTTGTATGCGGAGGAGAAGGCGCAGCTGCAGCAGGATCAGATTTTGGATCGCACGTTTCTAGCGCTGTCGCGCGATCCCAGCATACCAAAGGTCAGTAAACGCGTCATTGTTAGGTAGCTGTGCCTAGAGAGAGGGAAGGCAATTAGTGGTATTTACGATAACATGTTGTATATTTTTATTGAGTGCATTCACACATCCACCCTCCACTCACCCCTGGGGCTGGCAACTTTTGTTTGAAACCCCCCACCCGCCACGTTTGACAAAAGTTTTCCTTCTGCTCAACTCGTTTTGTTAACTTTGCGCCATTACAGACATATGTGCAGGATCTGATTGAACAGGAATTTGATTCGTTGTACGATTTGATTGTACAGGAAAGGGGACATGTCTATGTTTGCGGCGATGTCACAATGGCCCAACATGTGTACCAGACCATCAGGTGAGTTTACGTTTACGTTTACATTTACCTTACATTGATTGCCTTTGTGCTGTGGGCGATGGGCAAATGGGGGGCGTTGCAGGATGCTGTGGGCGTTGCTCTATGGGGAATTCAGTTTCTAATGCTCTGTGGTTGTCCTGTGGTGCGTGTTCGAACGAGCATGACTTTTTTGTTTGTGCGGCCACCACCTACCTCTTGATTACGTGCATTATTGTGAAATATAGTATAGTTGCTGTTTTTGCTGCTGTCCGTTGGCAGAGGACAGAGGATATGGCATAACAACTGTCCTGCACTTCCGTTCGCCATTTGCCAGTTGCCCTACTACAGTTTCCTGCTATGCTTAACCTCTGCTCAAAGCTAATTATAAGCAGCTTATGCTAATTGGAAATGTCAGGTGCTTGTATCTGATCTTAGCGGACAACAAAATAGAAAGCTTCTCCACAGAGCTAAAACAGCTTTGGGTGAAGGGAAACTTCGACCCGTGGATCAGCTTAGCCGTTGCTTAACTTAATCACAGATGTATTAGTTATAACAACATTTGAAACATTCAAAAGATAAGCTTTGTACTTTAGACTCAATGAATTAAATCAACTTTAAGAAGTTTATTTAATCAATTTATTTCATTCAACGGAATAAATATTATTTATTTTTAAGCAATCATATGCTGTATATTAAAAGCTGTGGAAGAGATTAAATATCTGGAGCTCTATAGGAATCGAGTTTTATTTTGCAGTCAAAAGCTAATCACCTGCTCTTGACTAATAAGCCACAACTATTGGGCTGTAGCGCATTGCTAATTAGCTCTCGTTTATTAAAGCTTGTCACGGCAACATAATCGAATAGCAAGTAGTGCATAAAACAATTCTATTAGGACGCTCAAACAGGCGGCAAGGCAGAAAGAAATGAAACTGCCAAAGCATGCCAGCTCAGCACAAAATGCCACGTACAAGTTGTAGGGCGAGCCACAACAAGAAGGAGCTGGCAAAGTCCTAGACGAAGTCGCTTTGAGATGCCTGGCATATAACCTTAAGCGCTGTAAAGCAGGACGAAGTCAGAGACTGCACATTCCGTATTTACGTATTTGCTTTGCTCAACCTTTTGCCTTGCTTTCCTTTCTCTTTCTCTCTCTTTTTCATCTTTCTACTTCTTTTTTGTGCGGCTTGTGGGCGCACGCAGGAAATGCATTGCTGGGAAGGAGCAAAAACCCGAAGCGGAAGTTGAGACATTTTTGCTAACATTGCGCGTAAGTATCCTTCAGTTGAGGACATAGTAGAAAATAACAAAGTGCAAGGGCGGCAACGCGTCATCGCTTAACGCCTTCTTCCTTTCGAGTCCCTGTCACAGTCACACGTTGCGTATGCGTATTATGTTTGTCTGCAGACAGACTTGCCGCTTACTGCATAAATATTTGAATGGAGTGAAGGTAGTTGTCGTTGTAGTTGTTGTTGTTGTTGCCGTCCTGCCACATTTATTATATTGTGTTTAAAGTTGTGGCATATTCGTGACAGCCACAAATATGAGCAGGATCATAAAAGCAAGTTATGGCACACATTTGTGTTTTTTATTCACACGCTGACTTCATAGGACGAGAATCGCTATCATGAGGATATCTTTGGCATCACATTGCGCACGGCTGAGATACACACAAAGTCCCGTGCCACGGCTCGCATTCGCATGGCTTCCCAGCCCCCATAAGGGGAAATGGCTCTGCAACATGGCTTAAAGGGGGACCCCAACAGTACGCATTCAATTCGCAGCCTGATGTTAATAGTTTGATGATTAAGTGTACACTTTTCTCTTGTTATCAATAGTTTGCATACATTTCTTTTTTTTACTTCTATCTGAAACGTAAGGCGTGTCTATTATTTTAGTAAATAGTTTGTTTGGAGAACCATTAATTCACTAACAAGAGTTGGGGCTCCCCAATAAACTCTCAAGCGTACAACGTTAGCTGATCGTTTATTTCTAAAGTTAATTCTTTTCGTTTGTACGTTTTAAGGCTTTAATATTTTCTTGTCTTTAGATGCTTCAAAAAATATTAACTCTAAGTAAATAATCGAGAAGAAAATTAGTTTTGTACAGATAATTAATAACTCATATATAATGACTTAATGATATAAAGATGTGTTTTGAGGCTCTATATGTGTAAGAATTAAAAATTAAAATATTACCGATCTATGTGAAGATCCTGAAGTGTTTTTCGAAGAGGATATAGTCTTGCAAGTAATTTGAAAATTTTGAATAGTGCTTTGTTGTCTGACTTGGTTTGAAAATTATAGAAAACTCAAACAATGATTTATAATAATATTCTGCATAGAAAAGCTTCACAAGGGCGCTTTAAATATCCATGAACCAATTCAATTCAAATGAGGAAAATGTTAATAAAAGTTCAGTAAATTGTTGCTACTTATATGTGTTTAAAATTGTTAAAAAAAATCGTAAATAATGATTGAATTCATGTTTCTTTATTTTACATTCACAAAAGAATAAAATCCTTTTAAAGATTTTTTAGTGCTTCTTTATTTTGTTTAATGTAAGAAATGAAGAACAAGAGAAATGCTTAAGTTATACTACCATTTGCTTAAATTGTATTAAAAAGAATTTACCTTTAACAACCATTAGCCTCTCCTAATATAAGTGCATCTTTAATAAATTATTTATTGAGAGTAAATGCTCATTTCATATTTATGGGTCTTTATAATAAAGAAAATAACATTGTTAAATTAAATTTCTCTCACATACATACTACTTTATGCCTACAAGAAGTACATAGTTGAATAATAAAAAGTAATTTTCAATTGATAAAACATTAGTACGGCTATGGAAATGTAGCATATTGTTATTGTTTATATTACTTTACGTTGAATTTGTGAAAAGAAACCACCGTGCGGGATAACAAACAAGTTGGCCCACAACATCCTTACAAGTGCTTTTGTCAAAGCTCAAGAAAATGACATTGAAAATCAAAATAGCCGAAATAATTGAAACAATTACAATTGCTAGACAACTATTTGCATATTTTTCTTCCTCAAGTACCAAATACCTAATCACAAATATGTCAACAACAATTGCACTTCAATTTAAACAATGTTCTACTTACAAATACATATACATGCGAATACAACGTTTAATTTTGTTATGCAAACAATTTCTCCCATTCTCGCTTTGTAATTCACAGAAATGTAATTTTACTGCTAAACATATTCATGTACAAAATCAAAATTTAACTAACTAATAAAGATCTAAATGTTTGAATATTTCAATAAATCAATAATATGCAACAGCAACAAAAAATCAAACCACAAACGATGACTTTTTATTGCTGCTCGTTTTAATTTCAAATGCAAATGCCATGCGGTCTGGCCCAGGACTTAGTGCCGAGCAGAGGAATGCAATTGAATTATTTTTTTTTACAGCAGCCAACGCAAAGAATAAATCAGTTCTGGAGCCATTCAGCAATTCCAACGAAATTTACGATTTTGAATAGAAAACTAAGCGGCTTAATCTGAATTGCAGTCTCGATGCGGCTGAGACGAAGACAATTTTGCAGTAACGCGACTAAGAGGTCTATTTTGCATAAAATCCAATTTATAAAACAAACAAGCTATTGACTATTTGCAGCTAAATAGTGGACAAAAATTGAAGATATTAAATATGTACATAAGTATATGAAATATAGTTGTACGACTGATTGTTTATGTTAACCAAACTTTGAAATTGTGATTAGGCATCTTTAATGTGCTTCAGCCAATGTTTTAGCTATATGAATATTACAGTTATTATTCTACAATCGACTAACTAGGTCGATATCAGTGCTTTGTTAAAAATGGAAAGTTGAATTAAGTGCGGTTATAGGATATATATATATATATATTTTTTAAATCCAGCTCGAAGGACATTTTATTCTAGCAAGATCCAACTGTTGCCAAGATATTCGCTGGTGTCAGAGAACGTCGTTAAAACATAATCAAATACCATAATGTTGATAAATGAAACATGCATTTTAATGTTGAAATATAAGATAAATTATGCACAAGCAATTAAACAAGAAAATATGGCAATTTAATTTTTTCTAAAGTACGAATTCGTTTCCATAACAACCATTTTGAAGAGCACGAAAGCGATTGCTTATTGGAAGGGTTAAAGAGTTGGGCGCATTATTGTGCTTACCTAGAAATAGACCAAGTTTAAAAAAATAAAATAAAAATAAAAGTTTTTTATTTAAAGCAGTTGTATTATTGTCAGGCTAAGTTATATGCACTAACAAAGTACAACTCATCAGTTTGTTCTTCGATATCTCATATACAAGTAGCATGAAGATTCATATCATGACTTAAGCAGATTCATGATACTGTTAAATACAAGAACTAAATTTTATCTGAGATGCAATTCACGAGATAAGTAACATGCTCTTTATTGTACATCAAAGCAAAGTAAATAAACCCGTTTTCCTATTACAAATCTATTGTGTAATATCAATGTCAATGCCAAACCAAGACCGAAATCATATTGAATTACATTTTTTCTTCTTCTTTCGTTACCTGTGGCTTCCGTAAAGTGTTTGCATTACATTTGCTTTGATTTTGTTAAAGCAATGCCTACGTATGCCTATATTATATTTTCTCGATATATCAGCGCCAACATTCCATTCCACTCCACTCCGATCCATTCGTCTGGCTGTGGTTACGCGTTTGCAAAGATTTCAAAGCGTTCGGCATTGTCATTTAAAAGTATTTTTTGTATCTGCCGCGAAGTTCTGAACTGCATTTAGGCCCTTAGTTCGCTTCAGTTGGGCCGGGTGGCTGTGCAGTGGTGCGGGAAACGCTCCAATCCAGTTACTATGCGAATATCAGATTTCACTGATGAAATTGAATTGTGTGCATTCGCCCGGGATCTGGGGTTTTTCCTGTGAAATCGTTAAAGGGTATGACGTAAGTTTGTTCTTTTTGTGGAACTGTCCTATATTTTTAAACCCTTTTTTTCTTTTTTTTTATGCAGTTCATGACAGTTTTAGACATGAACTCAGGCTTACAGAATTTTTTAAATTGCAAGTAATTTTTAAATCAATGCATAAATATGATGGTGATTGGAATCGAGTCATATATAGTACTCTGGAACGAACTCACATTATGGGATTCCTTTTACCCCGTTGAGCTATGCCAGGCTCGAAATCCATTTGTAGTGGGTTTTTAGGATTACTACTTTTTCCATTTGCATAGCTGAAAAGGAGCTCCCCAGACGACATTTTATGAACCGAAAGCAATATTATTATAGTTGATGCTGCGATCTCGTATATAAGTTACACTTTGAAAGCTTTTAATCATAATTAGGCATGTGCTGTCTAAATTGATAAACAGATTTAATATCCTATATAGAACATTCTCACCTTATTATAAATATAAACATATTTTTACTCAACTTAACTTTAAGATAAGCTTTAAAAACAAAGAGAAAAACACTTGGGCAGGAAATCACTTCCACTGTTTAAGTTTATATTTCTACTTATATTTTATTTTCTTAATATATAAAAACATGTTATTGTTATTTATTAAGGAGATTAAAAAATTGAAGGGAAGCTGTGATTTATTGCTGCTGTACAAAAGGTCTCTATCTTACTTGAATTTATCCTTTCATTTTTCATTTTTATAGTATTATTAAAATAAAGGTAGCTATAAGAAATGTTGTATTTGCTTTTACAAAAAGCAAAATATTTAAGGCTACAACAATATTTGTATACCCTATACACAAAGGGTATGAGAAGTATTTAAGGTTTGTGCAAATTACAGAATAAACAGAACCATTTTCAATTTCATAAAAATCGGTTTACCTTAAGAAAATTTATTATCGGACAACTGCCCCTTATTTGAAGTAAGCTATTACATTTTCGTAAGGAAGAATACATTTTAAGAGGGCATTACAAAGTCATAGAAGTGCGACTAAATTGTCTATTTTCTCTTGCTTGTTTCGCGCAGATACAGGAAATTCCAATTTGTGATTGAGAAGTCACTTTTTGACTTCTGATTGACATTTGGCATGCTGCGCGATTGTTTCGCATTTCTCATATTTCATTTTTACAAGTATTTGGGCATATGTCAGTGGCAGCTCGAAGCGGAAACCAACTACATTTCCTTACATAGATGGGCATGTATTTCATATTGATTTAAAAAATTGCCAGCTTCAATTATTTAAAAGGTAATTCGATTAGCCATACAATAAGCACTTATCTTTGCATTTCTTAAACATAAGTTAAAAAGATAAAATAAAATATTCAGCAATATATTTTGCCAATGCCGTTGATATTTCTAGACGTCGCGTGGCATAATCAGTATACGTTTTTGTTGGATTCCTGGAACGCCGTCAATTTGCTGGGGTTTCAGTTTCTTACCCAGCACGTGAAAAGCACCCGGTGCTAATGACATGGCTCATAAGCCAGAAACATGCTGATCGCATTTAAAAAATTGCCCCGCATGTGCAGTTAGTTGGAAAAAATAAAACGAAAACGAATGTCAAAACGTTGCAAAAATCGTCTGCCTGCAAAGTAATGTCAATGGCTTGGTTGGGGTTTTTTGAACCTGTTGCAATCGCCTGATCTTTCTACGTAAGTCTGTTTATTACCAAAAAAAGCAATTGCGGTCAATAAACGGGTCAAGATGGGTCTGTTGATGATGAATTGTATTGGGCATGAATCAGCGCAGCTTACAGCTCATTGTCGACTCTGTCGGAAAAGGGTGAAACCAGCATTAAACCAAGTGATTTTACTAAGAAAACATTTCTCAAGTCTTAGTAATAAGTTGACAAGGCGAACTTATGTGGTTTTATCAATACGTTGCTGAAATGCGAGATTCAATAAACAAACTTTTCTTTCATTAAGTTATTTTAGCGGGAAAGCCCACGTTTCTCGAAATTGAATGAATTTAAAATAGCAAACTAATAAATTTGCGGCGTTATTTACGATCATTTCTAACTACCAAACAAAATTGTTGTTGCCCTCAAGTGCCATCCTCCTCCTACCTACGATCTGAAATCGTTGATTAACTCTCTCAATTGTTTTGCGATTTCGGTAAATTACATTCAAGCATCATTCAAATGTGCGCGTCTTTCTCATTGAACTTGAAATGCCAATCCGATTTACAGCAACAGTTACAACAACGGCATTGCCTTGGCACGCGCCCCCAGTGACCAAATGCCTGGAGTGTTTGGCCCACACAGACATGCACATACACGTATAAACACGCAGCTCTGCGCAAGAGACATTCGGTCAGGCACCCAACCGGCTTTGGTGTCCGCTCTCACAAAATTAATCATTGACTTGCGACGCCGGACGCCGGACAACGCCGCATGCCGCAGCGACAAGAGCGAAGAGTGGAGTGCGGAGTGTGGAGAGTAGAGAGCCAGCAACCAACTGCCAACATTCCTGACATAATTTCGTATGTGAGTAAGCAAACGAGTTCGACTAAATAGTATTAGACGTCATCATCAGCAACAACAACAAAGGCGAGGCATGCCGCTGGCAACAAAAATGACACACGCTTTGTGGAGCACACAAGATACAAATTCAAAAAATCTACCACACATACTACATATATATATAAAAAAAAAAAATCAAAAGGGAAACCAAAAACCTGATGTGGAAAAAATTGTATAGTAAGTTAAATTTTCAAAAGAAACCCAAAATATGCAAAGGCAGGCACAGGCAGCGATCTGAAAAAATTTAAATTAGCTTAACAGAAAATTAAGGCGCTACACCCAACGAAACAAGTTAAGGTATTTCCCAGTACAATGGACTTTTCTATACCCTGCTTTTTTTCGAATTACCTATTTAAATTATTTAGAATAATACTATTCTTAAAAAAACACTCTACATTAAAAATATATTTGAGTGAATGAAAATAAAATAGAAATAAATTAAACATATATAATTGTACAATCACGAAAGATCTTTTCAACCATTATTATAAGTACATAGTAATTGAATAGGTAAATAATTTATATAAGAAATAGTTACAATAAAAACTCTAACAGACACAATATAATGTAAAATCTTACTACAGTAACAGTTTTACAGTAAAATTAAGAAATTTTAAAAGAAAACCTAGCTATTCGAAAAGTGAATAAGCTTTAAAGACACTTCTACAGTCTATAACAATTGTTATATTTATCCGGTATTTGAGATATTGACTTGCCTGCATAGAGATGGATAAACAAATATACCTTCATCTTCTAGTTGCCTTACATACATTGTCACAAACTGCATGAGCCCATAAAATCGTTGAGAGTAGCGCATTAGCTCTCAAACGTAACATGTTGCTAAGGCGACGCTCAGGCAACAAGCGGAAGCAACATGCTGCTAGCAACATTTGCAGCTTTTTTTTTGCCGGCATTCAATGTGAGCGCGCCTTTGAAGCTCGCTTCGAACTTATGCTGCGCCGCCGGCAACAGCGACGGCGGCTTAAGCTAACATTGCGACTTGAACTTGCCGCGTTCGAACCTCGCAGCCAACCAATGCTTATGAGCTTGTATTTGTATTTAGTTTGTGTGTGTGGTTTTATTTTAGTTACCGACAGCAGAGGCAACAGCAGCTACAGCAACAACAACAGTAACAACAGCAAGCGCAGCGACGACAACGACAAAGCACAGTGGTCAGCAGCCAAATGCATCGGACAAAATTAAAAAACTACTGTTGTTGAATTGAAAATTCAAAAAAATAGAAAAATAGAAAATTAGAAAAATGCTGTTTTAGTGTTTTGGAAAGCAAACTTTTTGGGGACCTTTGATTCATTTTCCTTTAAAATTCAATCCAATGCTTATTTTTCGATCGAGGACACTTGAGATATTTGAAACATTGCAAACGCTTTTTAATTTGATTTGTATTACATGGTGTTAGATTAGCCATTCTTAAAAACACTCAAACTTATCATAAAACATTAAATCCTTGAAGGCTTTAGATTCAGCCTTCATTACTTAAGCTTATTAACGAATACTATTATATACATGATGGTTCAAAATACTAAAAGACTTCTATTTGATCCATAGGCAGAGCGGAATCTCACATAACATTTACTTTACTGATTGTCAAGTAACAGGGTTTTGGCTGTTTAGAAACGATTCTGTACCATGGTGCGGCGTCGCGTCGTTGACGTTGTGACGACGTTTTGAGTTGTTGTTGGCGTTGTATTTTTTTTTTGTTTTTGGTTTGGTTTGGCTGCGCAACTCGCGTCGTTTATTTTAGTTAGTAACGAGATTTCGAGCGCTCAACGTTGACGTCGCGGTTGAAAATCAAAAGCTCAAATACAGTGCGCACACACTAAGTTCAACGCACAACACTCACATTGAACCAGCAAGTGAGTGTGTGCGAGTGTTTCCTCCACAAATGTGTCTGTGTGTGCGTGTGCAGACCTGAAGTGAATAAGAAATTGGAAAAGCGCTAAAACGAACGGTCAAAACGCCAAGCGAGCCAACAAACGTGGTCTTTAACAGCAACAACAACAACAGCAACAAGAAATTATAATCCGAAATTATTTTAACTTATTGCGCGTACCAATAAAAAAAAGCGCGAATATTTTTTTGGCTTTGCAGAGAGTTTGGCTGCAATTGTAAAAGTAAGTGTAATTGTGTGTGTGTGTGTCCATGAGTGTGAATATGATTTGAAACAACGTTATAGTTACAAACAGCACAACAGTTATTATCCATATGTATGTATGTAGTCATAAACATACTTACATATCTACATGCCTGGCAATAATAACAACAAAGCAACAAAACTAACGCAAAGGTTTTGGCGACACAAACAGCACAAGACAGACAGACAGACAGAAAGAAAGAAAAAACATTGTTTATTTTGGTTGCCAATAGTGAAATTATTGAACAATAAGTTGTGAGTAGCAACTGAAAATATTATCGTATATATGTATGTATATGCACATAGTATGTAGGCAAATATTTTCCAATGCCGTTGAGTTAAAATGTTCAACATTATTTAGTTGACAACTAAACTTAAATTCAATAACAGTGCAAAATTTGTTTTTAATTGAATAATGAAATTGTTACAATTTGAGAAAGCACCATTCATTGAGAAAATACAAATTAAGTTTTTTATAAAATATTACATTTATTGTCAAGAGTATTTAAAAGAGTTTGCATTCCCAGAAATGGTACTCGAAAATATATTAACATTTGGACAAAAATCAGGGAAATAAAATACTTTAAGTTAGACAGATATACGATTCAGACTTGTTAACAATTTTGTTATACATATTTGCTTTCTTTTGGTCAAAGATTTCATTAAACATAAATAAGAAAATTTTAACTCAGAATAACAAATTTAAAATTAAACAATATAAGAAAAGAAACATTAAATTTAAATTAGATTAATAAGAAGTATGGTTTTAAAAATACTGTTAAAATAAGCCATAAAAATTGGTTGATATAAGCTTTAATTAATTTGCAAAAATTTAATAACAATATTTATATTTTAGGGTACTATTTAGATTTGTTTTCTGCTAATGTATTTGTGACTTGCAAAAATCTGAATAAACATTAGGGGCATACATACTCCAATACTTAAAAGTGATCTTGTGTGTGTGTTTGTTTGTCAGAGGCAGGTTCTAAAGCTTCTTAGTTACATACTGCATTTACTTCGATATGTTGTTGTTTATTCAATGCCTATGAAATTCGTAGAACTCATACCTGATATTTATAAAATAATGAACAGACAAAGCTGGAGTAACAGGTGCGTTAACAATTTCGGGGAAGTGTGTTGCACTGAACTATAATTTCAAGAAGACTGCACAATAGATTCAACGTTTTTAAAGAATCCTTGTTTTTAATGTTTTCTATAACAAATTGACACATTTTTGTTCTATAATTCATTTTGAAAAAAATGAGTGAATATAAAAAATTCTTATTACCCTTTGACGACATTAATAATTAACACAAGCTCGTAATCTTGCTCGATTATGAATAAAATTAATCTAAGTAGAAAGCTAGATTTGTGAGGATGGGTAATGTTAAGTTTATTTAGGATAGATCTTGAGCACATGTGTATCGTATATAATGTCAATTAATCAGTTTCTTGAAATGCCCGGTCTGTCTAGTGTTTATTTAGAAACTATTTGAATATCAGTAAAGCTTTTTGTTAGATTACTTCAATATATTCAAAATATCTGGTATAAGAACTACGTTTATGTGTTTTAATCGTATATACATACTTTAAATGAATTGAAACATCAACAAAGATAAAGTTTATTTTAATAATTTCCAAGGAAACAGGTTATGTGTTTTATAAACAATTCTGCAAAATGAAGAACGAAAGGTTAGTCGATCAATTCGCCTTTCTTAGTTAAGTTAGAGTAACCAATATTATAAAATAAGAAATGCGATTACGATCCTTATATTTTTATAAAAATGATTTACTTTGAACACATACCATACAGAATTACTATTAATGATTAATGCCGGCATGGCTGGTGTTCAGAGCTTGATTGCTTGGCTATGTGTCAATAACTCGACCCTTGCCCGTTCGTGCCCCTGTCCATGGTGAGGTTCGATCACTTAGTTGGCCATTATAAAATCATTGCGCTAACGGTTGTTTCATCTGCGTTCACTGAACTGCGAGTATGCATGCCAAACATGATTAGAAGTCAACGGATCAATGAATACTTATAATGGCGATACATAAAATTTCAATAAGTCAGCAGCGCGTGTTTTGAGACACACAGACACTCACACACTTGAAAGAGCCGCTCAATTATTGTCAGAGTTTCAAATTAAAATTATTATTTATAATTATTTAACTTTAAAATGCTCTTCAGCATACATCAGTCAGCGAGTTAGACAAAACGTTTGAAATACATTAAAAATGCATGAGATTTATTATAAAATACAGACATACACCTGAAAACTGACAGCAAGACCTTATGGGGTTCATTGCTACTTGCCACAATTTCTGTATGTTGTTGGTGTTTTATGTAGGTTTTTTTTTTTGAGATAAGAAACTTCAAACTTAATGGCATTGTTGTCAGACAACGAGGGTCGAATCCTAAGAAATATGCAATTACATATATACAATTGGTATATACACTCTATAGAATTTTTTTTGTATTCCCTAAAAGAATTTTTGAGGCCAAACATTCGAATACTGTTTGATTTGTCTTGAGAGAAAAAGTTATATCTTATTTATCTTCAGTAATATCTTCTATTACAAAATATAGTATGTACGGGAAAGTAATGTACTCGTATTCAGGGTATTTTGGCTTAAATGCTGCTGTGCATCCTTTGTACTCCTTAGACTAATGTGTAAATGGTTATGACAGTTGAAAAGATTTATTCGGAATAAATAGTAGCACATGTAATAGCTATTAAATAATATTATTAATGTTTACATATCGATTGTTAGAAATTTTAAGTATGTTGTACAACTAAAATACTAAAATCTTCAGATCATTTACTGTTCAATTATTCTAGAGGAGATGAAGCTGTGTTACGCACTTCTTCATATCTTCAACTTATGTTTTATATCGAATATTGCTCTCTAATGTTGAATGGGAAATAGATTAAAATTGTTCTCAATATATATTGTTGAAATGATTTAGTCTTTTATTTATCTGAAAAGGGGTTTTCAGTGGGCCAAGACTGTTCTAGTGTTCATAGTGATGGAAGACAATAATTCACTAATTACAATTATAATATTAATAATAATTAATAATATTAAATAGAAATAACGTCAGGATAGAATTTAAGTCACGGACAAAGAAGTTTAATAACTTGCTAACTTATTTGTTCACCCTCGCAATAAAACATTCCATGTTTACCAAAAACAATAACAACAACAAATTTAAGAACCACAACAAAAACTACAGCAACAACAACAAAAGCAGCAACAAAACCCATGTCGAATTGACACACTAAAGGGGCGCGCAGTTGGAGAGCGCGCGTGTCTGTCTATTTCTTCGCCATGGCTTGTGAACTTTTTTTTTTTTTTTTTTTTTGGGAGCTTGCTGTTTGATAACAAGCGTGTAATTTGCACTTGTATACACGCATACACACACATATATATATATACTTATGTACACATACTCGTATATAAGTATTGCCGAAATATTTGGCAACTTCATTTGTTTGGCCAGCACAAAAGCTTGGCTTGGCTGGGCTCTCTTGTCAGTTTTGATTTCTGCAACGAATTCTTCAGATTACGAAATTGTCGAGCTTCTTCTTGACGCCATTAGTTGCTGTTGATGCCAGTTGGTCACGCTACTGCCGCTCAGTTAATAACTTTTTGCACACATTTCAATTAGTTGATTCCAAATATTAAGTTTGCTTTGTTAATGGGCGGGTTCAAGGTTAACGAGGATCGTTTGTATTGTTAATGCCCGCCGCCTTTGTTGGCATACAAGTATAATAAGAAATTTAAATCTAAATATGTGCAAAATATTTCGTACCAGCTATGAAAGTGGCCATTGTGTTTGCATTATAGCTCGGCATTATAATAATTTCTGTTACGTGAGATTAAGCGCTATGCATGCTCCAATGGCTTTTTTATGAGATAGCTTAGTTTTCTCGAATATCTTTCACGTGCTTTATGTACTGACTATGAATATAATACATATACTTGTGTGTACATACATACATAGTTAGTTAAGTATGGAGCTTAGTGGCATAGAGAATATGAGCGTTTGATAACAAGAATTGGGGCCAGTAGATGGAATTGTTGTGACTGTAGCTGGGAAATGCAAGATTGTTCAAATTTATTTAGTTGCTAGGGAAAAAATTTAAATTTAACTCATCATATACTAAATTTGCAATTCCAAGGCTGAAACATGTTTTTTATTTCTTATATTAATATGTATATTTAATGGGTTAGAAAAAGTTTACAGAAGCTACCCAATAATCATGAATGCTATATTCTGCAGTACTGGAAATTCTGTTGCGTGGCTAGGGTTCTAAGAGTTGTCTGTTAAATATTTTACATATGTTATTATTTTGAAGAAATTGTAGATGGGTTTTAAGAATTGGAAGCAGACATTCTAAGCAATTAGAATAGATGCCAGTGCATGGAGCAGTAGAGCCGTCCTTCTTTTAAGCCTGCTAGGTACTTTGTTGAAAGGGGTCAGATGATGTGAAAAAATTGTTTAAGGTATTTCTGGTGATCTCTTGAACAATTATATACTATTTATAAATATTACTATTATTTCTCTGACTTCTTCTAGAAGTCATTTTTTAACAAAATTTTCTTTAGATAATTCTTTGGATGCTGTTGTCGCTATACCCTTTACTTCCCACATAGTAGCTCCAGCTCGAGCGTTTCATCTAGGGACACTTTTAGCCGGTCACATAAGATGTTCATCGTCTTTGCTAAGGCCATCCTCGACAGCCACCATTTGTTGTCATCCTCATTGCAGTGTTGTGTTTTTAAAATGGTGGCAGTCGGCATAATTTTTATTTTTCCCTTAGCTCCATGTGCAGTCAACAAACTTCCTGTGCACCAAATTTGTGAACTTAGCCAGACATAGACACAGACACAGGCAAATAGCGGCAAACGCATAGCTATTAACACTATAAATAAACTTCATTCATAGGCAAATACTAAAACGCGTCGAAAGACGGTCAGACAGACAGACAGACAAACCGAGGGAGAGACAAGAAGAGCGCGAAAGTGGCGAACTAAGCAAACTGCAAAAATGGCAACGACGACGACGATGGCGACCATCGAGGCAGCAACAGTCGTAGCCACAAAAGAAGTCATAAAGTGCAAAAAATCATTTAACGCATTTTAAAAACTCTTATTACCGTGGCCGCCCAATGGTTACCACAAGCTGCCGGCGTCGGCGCCGTCGCCATCGCCCCCCCCGGACCCACAAAGGCGGCGCGTGGACTTATTTAAAGTAGTGCAGACGAACAATAAAATTCAGACCACAGCGCGACTACGATACGAACGACATTCGTAAATAAAATATCTATATATATTAATGAAGTTTATGAATGAAACGCAAACGCTTTGAATTTGAATTTGCGAACCAAAGGCAGCTGGCAGCTGGCAGCGGTGTTGGCTACCATTGGACATTGCTGCGTGTTTTAGTTATAGTTTTTTATTTTTAATTTTGTACACTCACACATAGACACATTGCATGTGGTGTATCTAAGCGCGCATGCCTTGTTGTGAAAAGTATCTGGCAGGTACACGGCATGCATGCACAATTACCGGCCATCGCAAACCATCACCATGAGCCGCCATATAGTGTTGACTTACAAACGTACTTACCACTTACCTCTTGTATACATACATATGTGTGTATGTGTGTGTGTGTGTGTGTGTGTGTGTATTGGCAGCAATGTTTTAGCTGCCTTTGGGCTTTAATTAAGTTGAAATCGTGTGCCAACTCCCGCATACCTTGCCTGTTATCGCATCATTTGCTCTCCAGATTTCTTTTTGTTTCCACCTCACAAGTGGCTGGCAAATACACAGCAACAAGTTTGCTGGCCAGTCAACCATATGCTTAAAAGTAATACAATATCTTATATATACACGTATATTGACGTCGTCTACTTTCATTCTCAAATCAATAGTCAAATAAATGTTTCTTAGTAGTAGAGGAGTTTCTTTGTAGCCTTTGAAGAACTTTGTTGCCATAGCAATAAAGACGATTAAAAAATGGGTTTGAAATGAAAAATATTTCGCAAATAGTTGACAATATTTCAATAATAATTTTGATTTCATATTTTGATTAATATATTTATTTGTTTGACTTTTCCACAACATTTTTTTTCTCACCACTTTTCAAATAGGTAATTGAACGCAAAAGTTTCCATGCTCATTACAGTAAAGTAATTAAACGCTGTTTGAAAAACTATTTATGAATTGATTACAATTTTCTTATTTGATTTTAAAGAAAATTAGAATTATTTGATTTTTTCTATGCACATATAAAGCCACTTTAACAATATTTAATAGTATTTTTAAACGAAATTCTAATATTTATAACAGATCACTTTAAATTTAATTTGAAAAATTATTGAACTAAGGTGAATGTCAAAATATATAAGTATCCACATAATTGTTACGCAAGTAAACAATTACAGAAACTCACGCACATGGTCACAAATACATAAATATGTATAAATAAAGAAAAATAAAACAGCAAAGCAAATAAATGAAATTCAATTGAAGTCAGACAACAACATATACCACAATAAATGCTTATTATTTTCAGTCGATTGCCTTACAAATTAAGTAAATGAATAATTCAAGTATCAACAACAAATATTAAAGCCGTTCATAATTAAATGCCATGCAATAAATTAAAAAGAAATTCGCATAACTTGTAATTTTCATTATTTTTTTTTTCAGGCGCAAAACGTTGAAACTAACAAATTCGTAACTATAATATCGTATGCGTACTATAATAATATTTATTAAAACATTCAATTGTGTGTGCCATTGACCAGGAAATAAATCTGTTTCGCATATCAAAGGAGAGTCAGTTTATTGAAAATTTGTGAATTCAACAATAAAAACAACAACTGAAATCGCTCAGGTAAGTAAACGTTGCTTAAGGATTGAACCAAATTTAAATACGTAAGCTCATATATTTGTAAAAGAGAGATTACCGATGCCCCCGTTTATACTCATGTATGTACATATGTATGTATGAATGTATGTATGTATGGTTGCAATAAAATGCTGACCCCGCATATATTTGAATTGCATATGCGCTGTGGTTGCTTGTGATACTCTATTTTTCCGACCGTTAGGAAAGTCTTCTTCACGAAACGGCTAGCTTGCTTCCAGAAGGCACGATCGAAAGCTTCTCTTGCCCAAACCAGTTGGATTTTTAGATATGTACATATAATAAATAATCTAACAAAGTATAAAAGATAGGACGATATTGCGGCGGCAAAGAATCGAAGACAAAAAACATACTATATGTTGTAAATTTCATTTTTAAACAGAGAGCACGGAACAGATCATAAACGTATATTGTTTCACAAAAAGTTGATGAAATATCTAGGCTATAAGTTGGTGCTAGGAAATTGTATTTATTCTGTAGGAAAATCAAGCCGAAGCCGATGGCAATCGAAGATTTAATGTCCAGTCAAACGAGGTGCAATGATTATGTTTCTGCACAGATAGCATTAATTTAAATGGAACATCAACCCTGTTTAATTGAGGTCAGCCCTGCCGATAATCAACTCTCATTGTTATGTGTCAAATAATATTAAAAGTATTGCCCATCCCTAACCCGAGCAGTTCCGGCGAGAAGTTTGATTTCTGTGTATAACAAAAGCAGCAGACCCAGTTAGGTGGTAAGTTGAAAGTTAGCGGACAAAATCCAATAAGCAGAGAAGTCTTTATAGCCGTGATGACAAGAAAGAAGTACTTTACCCACAAGGGCCGCAATCGCCACTTTACTTCGGTTGAGCAGCTGAAGCTGGAGTCAGCGAAGAAGAGCGAACAAATCAGCCGAAGCACCGAGCAGGAACAGGAGGAGGAGGAAAACGAGCAGGCGGCTGCCAAAGGCTCGTTCACTCCGATCCAGCCGAAGGAACAGAAGCCGGCAGCACGTAAATCTATCAGCAGCTGCTCTGAGGCGGACACTGACCAGGATACCAATGAATTCGGAGAGATCGAGGCGCGCGGTGACAAAAAGGGGGTGGCCGCACTCATCAAGATCGAGAATCCCAATCGAGTCGCAAGGAAGGCCTCGGTGAAAATCTCGCAGCTAAACATCGATATTGTCAAGCCAACGCTATCGCGGCGCGAACGCGAAGAGATTGAAGAACAGACGGCTCATCGACGCTACCAGAAGCTTCATGCCGGAGGCAAGACATCTGAGGCCATATCGGATCTGGCACGTCTGGCTCTAATCCGATACCAGCGCGAGCAGGCGGCGGCCAAACGAGAGGCGGACAAAAAGGCTGCAGCACTAGGCAAGAAGCCGACAGTCAAGCAGTGCTGATATTCTATCTGATAATGGATTGCAGGACAATATCGTTTTATTATTAAATTCATTAAACATCACAATACAGACAAACAACACTGAAAGCTCTTTTAATATAAAATCGAAACAGCTGTTTGCTCTTCTCGCAGTGAAGCAACACTGGAACGCGACAAGAAGAGCGAAGCTACATCATCTGTTGATGACATTTCGGATAACAGCTGACTGCTGCTTAAAAGCAAACACAGGCTTCTAGCGAAGGTCCGTTATTTTCTATTCATAGGAGGCTGCTTTGAGATGACGTCACAAGACGTTTTGCTGTTATTATGATATCTAAACTAACTGGTGAGGGGTATAATGCCAATTATTGCCAAATCTTCTATAAAGTGCATGTATGTATGTATTTCTTTTGTGAACAGTCCACTTAATATTTTCTTAAACGGGTTCTGACTATTTGACTGATAATGAAAATATTTTCTACACAGAAACTGTAGAATGTAATATACTTAAATATGTATGTTTTGAACCAACTTTTTGTTTATACAAGAGTTAGAAATGTAATACATTTCCTTTTCTGACTAGGTTAGAATATGGATTTATACCATTTTCAAATAATGTTATAGATTACAGACTCTACCGAAAATTATCTTCTCATGTGGAATGCATGTTCAATTATTGGATTTCATAGCCTTGTAAGCATATTCCAGCTTCGGCGAGCCTATGGGCGCCCAGTTTCCATATTTATCTTTACCTTTAGACCATGTGGCAAACAAACTGCAGCAAATTATACAACAAATTGAAGTAAAAAACGAATATGTGCTACTGGCATGTTTGTTTACACAAAAATAAAACGTAAATACCGTAACTTTGTTGGTGGATGCCCGCTTGTTGGTTGCTACTACGGTTGGAATATAAATAAATAAATGTGATATTTTTAATGAAAGGAAAATAAATGCAAATTCAAACTGTATATGAGAGTTCGGTTTGGTTTAATTATTCTTAAAGTTAAAGTATTTAAGGTAAGCGAATATTTTTGCTTGTATCCGATAACTGAAGGAACAAAGAATATACATACATACTACAAAGCTAAGACTAATCGATATAGACATGTCCTGTCTACAGACTGTCCTTGAGTCCTTTTGACTGTTTGTATGAAGAGCAAAAACTTGTTTCCATATGAAAAGCAAGTTCATTTTAAAACACATGTAACCTCACTATTTTATATACCTGCCATAGGAAGAATCGGGGGCAAAAATCGTAGTATATAAGAGTTGGTTCGTGAACTGTAAGCATTTGGAATTTTTTTAATACAATTATTTCGGGCGAAAAACTTTACGGCCACAAAACAATTCGCTGACGCATACATATTGCAAAATACTGTGCAGAAAAAAAATTTACAAGTTCAGCGCAGATTTTATATTATTTGTATTTTTTGTTTAAGCTGCAGTTGACGCAAAAGCAAAAAAAATTATAATAAACAGACAAGTTCAAGAGCAAAGTATTTCACAACTGTTTGGCGCTCTCTTAATCTTGCGCTCTTTTCAAACCTGTTTGCATATTTTTCGTTTGGCCAAAAACATAATAGGCAGCTAGCTCTTTACGAAAAAAAAAACATAAACACAAACATTAATAACAAATAATAAATATTTAATGGAAAACAAATGCTGGCCAAAAATAGCCAATGAATTGGAATTTGTTGTTTCAGAATATAGAAGCCGGCTTAGATCACCCAACTGGCGCAGCTGTTGTCCAATGATGCCTGACGGACTGACTGAATGACTAAATGACTCTCTGTCTCTCTGTCTGTCTGTCTGTCTCTCTTCTCACTAACTAAATGTGGCAAATTGCGCAACTAATTACGGGATGTTTAGTCAGCATTGAAAATTCCGAAACAACAATAGTCGGGCTTATCACATACTACACATTTCTACATACAAACAGACAAGCAAACATACACTATGTATGTATGTAGCGTATTTGTTTCTAGGGCCAGCGCAGCAGCCTTCGGCCTTTTAGCGCACACGTACATGTAATTTTAATTAATTTGTTTTTGCCAATATATTTTTAAAAAAAATTACGTGTAAAATATTTGTGCACGTCTCGTTCGTTCGTTCTCATTCAACCTTACAACATCGATTGAAATCGAATCGATTGAGCGAGCTGTTTGTTTTAGCCTCGCTTTATTTTCTTGACTCATCTGTATTGTATTTTGCAGCTTTCCATTTTATTTATGATTGTTCCAGCCGCTGCATTAATCACGTTTAAGATATTTTAATAACACGCTGTATCGGCTAGTTTTGCCAACACACAGACTGCTCACAAACATTTATTTTATCTTTTGACAATTTATGATTGCCATTTAAGTTAAACGTTCAATTAACGCTAAGGCGTGATAATTTTAAATCAATGTCGATCGCACAAAACTTGAATGGGCAAAACCAAAAGAGAAGGCTGTTACTGTTACTACAAGTAAGTTAAATTACAGAAAGGATGAAGAAAACATAGAACTATAGAATATAGAAAGTAAATTAAAGTAAATGATGAGAAAAGTTATTAGATTAAATGCAGTATTGAATTATTTTGTAATGCATATTAAATACATTGTGACAAAAATTAAAAGAAAGAAATAATATAAGTTCTAGTATTTGAAAAACTAAACCATATTTTCAAACGTCCTTAATACTTATTTCTGACTAACAAAAATAATGCAAATCCACAAAAAAAAGGCAATTCAAGAAAATTTTCTGTTGAAATTCTATTTAAAAATATTATTTAACTGGACACATTATTGCTCTGTTTTAGACTAGAGTTTATTGAACGGATTGAATATTTAATAGTTAGGCCAATGTTATTAACCAGAACTAGTATAGAATAAGTATAAGGCGATCTATTGCGGTATACAACTGGCGTATTTAAATAAGAAGCCTCTTAGGTTTTCATCTTTGAAAATTTAATTTAAAAAAGTCAATTTTTGCACAAGTGCTACAAACTTTCAAAATTGTTATTCCTATTATGTACTTTTTACATATACTTGTATGTTAACAATTGTCCAGCAAAGTTTAGTTTAGTCTACAAATGTCATTCAAATAAGTTATATAACTGCATTTGCAGTTTTTTAAAACTTAAAGCAACCATCCTTTGATTTAATAAAATACTTGCATTCCAAAGCTGGTAAGAGACTTTTGTGCATAACTTGTTTATTACTTGGAAATATTGGCCACTATGGCAACACAAACTGTAGCCAAGTGGCCCAAAAGTGTAACAACAGCGCTCGCATTGTATATTTTGATAGATACAAATTCATAACAAGCCCAAAACAACTAACTTTCCTGCCGACCCCAAACGAGCCCCCACAGTGTATAATCGGAACATGAAGGATACAAGCGTGGAAAACCGCCCCAGTCGGCAGATGACAGGAGTGGGTGAGGGGGGGTAGGGGGTGTTGCAGGAGAAATATTTGTATTCAAACACAATTTGCATTTTGGGGCAGCCAGCGAGGAGGTGTCGTGGCGACATAGCGACGACTACTTACGTCAAAATTTCTGTCAAATCAGCGCAAAATTGGAAGGCGTTGGTAGCCCAAAAGGGCGGTAAAAGAA